CTAAAAATACAATAATTATCTGGACATGGTGGCAGGAGCCTGTAGTCCCAGCTACTAGGGAGGCTGAGGCAGCAGAATTGCTTGAACCCAGGAGGCGGAGGTTGAGGTGAGCTGAGATCGTGCCACTGCACTCCAGCCTGGGCAACAAGCGAAAAACCATCTCAAAACAAAAAAAAAACTCGTTTCAGCTGGATGAAATAAAGGCATCACTTCTATTTTGAGTCATTTCCTCTGCATGTGGGCAAAGGAGAGTCTTGCAACTTTGTTGCTAATGGATTCTCTGATTCTTTTGCAGACGCCTAATGGTAGCTGCAGATGGGCTGAATGTTTTCTGGAGCTGGTGCAGTTGCACAAGGCAGAGGAGCCCAGGGTGCTGCAACATGAAGGCTGGACAGAATGTGTGTTTCTGCTGCCTGATCTTGAGTTCTGTCTGCCAACTAAAAGGTTGGTGGCTCAAGCCCAGTTAGGCACTCTGAGTTTTACATGATCTCAGTTCATTGAATATAAGCTTATGATACATTTCCTCTTAGCTAGCCTCTCTCCTAACCTTATTGTAAATCCCTCTACTTTAAATCAGATGTAATCAAATCCTGCTTGAACCCCATTAGGTGTTTTGTAGACAATCAGAGAATCTATTAGCAAAAAAGTTGCAAGACTCTGCTTTGCCTGCAAGCAGAAGACTCAAAATAGAAGTGATGCCTTTATTTCATCCAGCTGAAATGAGGTTTTTTTGTTTTTTTGTTGTTGTTGTTGTTGTTTTTTCTGAGATGGAGTTTTGCTCTTGTTACCCAGACTGGAGTGCAATGGCATGGTCTCAGCTCACCGCAACCTCCGCCTCCTGGGTTCAAGCAATTCCGCTGCCTCAGTCTCCCTAGTAGCTGGGAGTATAGGCTCATGCCACCATGTCTAGCTAATTATTGTGGGGTTTCACCATGTTGACCGGGATGGTCTCGATGATCTCTAGACCTCATGATCCACCCACCTCGGCCTCCCAAAGTGCTGGGATTACAGGCGTGAGGATCCAAGTGATGTTTTACAACCCATTCTTCTAGATCTCTTAGCAAAGCCTGGTCTTCCTGGTGTTTGCCCCATATCGCCAAAGGCCAAAATCATCAAAGACATGGCAGGCTCTGACCTTCCCCCAGAGGGCGCACAGCCCTTCCCTCCCATTCTCTTCTCACTAAACTGCTGGACACTACTCCCAACCAACTCCTTCCTCCTGATAAGCTGGAATTCTGTGACTGTTAAAACAGCTTTTTATGTTTTTTCTCCTGGAAAATCTGTTACTCATATCTGGGTTTCCCACTCCTGGCGTTTTGAGTTGATCTTTCTTTTCTTTTATGCTTTTGAAAGTTCTGTCTGATTTCTAAAATATATCCTTAATATGTTTTTTAAATAATTATATGTTAAGTATTAACATGAACGTTCAAGCAGAATTTTACCACATCTGATATATACTTCTTTTCAAGAATGAAACAAGTTCTGAAGATCCCAAGCCTAGTTCTCACATGAATAATATTAAGCTTTCTTCCTAAGGTTGGGTTTTATGGTTACTGATTCCTGGAAAGCTGGTGTCATTGCCCTTAAGCCCAATCCATGAGAAACACACCTCACACTTAAAGGTGGATTTTTAGCGCATATGGGGTGCACTGTACACTACTAGGGTGATGGAGCACTGAAATGTCAGACTTCACCCCGACATAATTCGTTCATGTAATCAAAAACCACTTTTTTGTTTTCCAAAACCTATTGAAATAAAGAATGTATATGAAAGACAAAGGTATGTCTTTCCACTCCTTGCAGAGAGAGAGAAGACTCTCCATGATCATTAAATACACAAAAAGATGGGTTTCAAGATACTGAACATTAAGCAAAAAAGGATAGCCATCCTTGAGAGATGTTACCCAGACAGCCTCAATTGCTTCCACTGACTGTCATGAGAGAACTTCCAAGCTAAGTACAGGGAGGAGAAAGTGAAAAGGACTCCAGTGCACACCTTTGAGTTAAGGACACTAAGCAGAGTGTCCAGGGTAGTGTAGACCCAAAGTAGCATAAAACCTATAAATAGGACCCGGCCAAGAGAGAGCTGCAGAAAGTAAATTACAGTGAACCACAGAGGGTGTCCCTACTGTGTCAGCACAGTGCTGATTAAGAAAGTATGGATCAGAGCCTACATTTGATGAAAATATTCCAAAGTCAAAGGAAAATCGTTTGAAAAGATTTGAGAGTCTGGTGCCTGGTTCACACACAAGGCTTGGAATGGTGCCTGAATAATAATTAAAACTAAAATTAACTCATCATCCACAGGACAAAGGATAGGAGTTTCAAAAAGGTTTTTGCTCAGTAGCAGGCCATGAGCCCTGCTCTGGACCACCTCACAAATCATAAAAACCAGACTGAAAATGATTAGACTGTTTCCAAGTGATTTAACTGAATCCCTGAAGAAAGCTAAAGATACACAGGAACACAAAGGCATCCAGCACTCAAGATAACATACACAACATCTGGTAAACCATCAAAGATTCTGAGGCCTGGAAAGACACCTGTGTGAGGAAATGAATAAGTCTTTGGAAGCTGACCCAGCTGAGAAATAAACCCACCCATCTATGATCCATTGATCTTTGATGGAGACACCAAGAAAACATGATAGTAGACTAGATAGAGAAAAGGTGGCATATATACACCATGGAATACTATGAAACCATACAAAGAAATCAGATCATGTCATTTGCAGGGGCATGGATGGAGTTGAAAGCCATTATCCTCAGCAAACTAACACAGGAACAGAAAACAAAACACTGCATATTCTCACTTATAAGTGGGAGCTGGATGATGAGAACACATGGACAGATAGGGTGGGGGTGGGAACAATGCACACTTGGCCCTTTCAGGGGGTGGGGAGTTGGGGAAGGGAGAGCCTCAGGAAGAGAAGCTAATGGATGCTGGGCTTAATCCCTAGGCAATGTGATGATCTGGATTCTCTGTGCAGCAAACCACCACGGCACACATCCACCTGGGTAGCAAATCTGCACGTCCTGCACATGTACTCCTGAACTTCATGTCAAAGTTGAAGTAAAAAACAATAAACAAAGAAAGGAAAAAATCCACTTAAACATCTGTGCTTGCACCAAAAGTAGCTGAAAATTGATTATAGAACTAAACATAAACTGCAAATCCAGAAAACTTACAGTAGCAAACCTAAGAGAAATTTCCACGGTGTAGAGTTAGACACAAAATAGACTTAGTTATCATATCACATGCATAAGTTGAACTTGACACAAATTAAAAATTCTTGGTCAGCACAAGACACTGTTAATAGAATAAAAAGCTACAAATTGGGAGAAAAATATGAAAACCCCACATAGGTCAAAGGTCCTGTATACTGAATAATTGTGCGTATAACTTTTACCAAGCCCCGGTGTGCCAGGACATTTGTTCCAGGATTCTTCTTGGTGTGTGCTGGAGGGTGTTCTGGATGACCTTAACACTAAAATAGACAAACTAAGTGAAGCAGATGCCCTTTCTATGGTGGGTGGGCCTCATCCAATCAACCAAAGGCCAGAGGAAAAGGAAAAGTTCTAATGAGAAGAAAATGCTTTCCTGAGTGTCCAGCATTCCATCTTGGGAATTGCAGCCTCCAGAATCATATGTCCGAACATATATATACACACACACATACATGCTGTGTACATATATACGCACACACACTTTCATGAGTAAGTAAGAAGGATTGTATTTTTAAAAGTTCAGCTATTCAATGACTTTTGCTGAAGCTGGCCAATGAATATGGGGATGTTCTACTATATGATTCTGTCTCCGTTTTTATACTACTGAAGTTCTGCGTTTGAAGAAGTATGACAGTTAAAAGCTGTATTTCTCCACATACACTTCAAAGCCCTAGGGATTAACACAGAGTCAAAAATGCTACCCATAATCCTGCCCCCAAACAGGGCTAGAGAACACTGTGGCCTTCAGGTGATTTTATTTAGCTGGATCTGGGAGCCACACAACAGCAGAGGGAGCAGAAAAGACTATGCAAATAGAAACCAGCACGCAGGGATGGCCTGCTCATGACAGAACACCCAGAAAAACCATCCTTAGACAGCCAGTGTGGAGAAACACAGAACATGCCTGAGACCTGGTGGATCAGAACCCTGCTACTGGGGAATGGATGGGCAGCGGCTTCTTGGTGCAGAGGACCAGAGGGACCAATCTTCCAAGGGCAGCATTGCTGGGAGACTGGGAGGCTTAAACAAAGGAAGCATCCACTGGAGATTTGTAGTGACGAGAATGAATGAAGTAACTGGCAGAAATTAAAAGTCCAGGTAGAACAAAATAGAATCCCAGAGAGAGCAAACGTGTTGTCTCCCAATGCAAAACAGTATGTCCTAAAATCATAAGAAAAATCCTTTTTAGCAAGTATTGTATATCTGGTGATGTGACCCATGCATGAAGACTGGGAAAAGTTCCCTAAGCAAAAGTCAGCGAGACCTGATTTCCCTCAGGAGGACTCTGTTACGGATAAATTCCACTTAACAAGGGGTACTTAGGACATACATTTGAATAGCACATGTGCGTCAACATATTTAATTGTAGATCTATACCAAAAACCAAGGTGGGAACAGGTGGGACACATAGGCTGTCAATGTATGTTTGGGCTGAAATGACAAATAAGAAATGGCAGAGGATAGAGAAGCGGAAAACAATGCTTTGATTGTTATAGTGGTAAAATCTGAAGTTGAAAGATATAATTTAAAATGTATAAACCAAATAGTGGAAGTGTCTCAAGTTAAAAGGGGATTAGTGATGTCAAAACCTTAGTGCAATGTTAAACAAGAGCTATACAACTCTTCTAAAATAACAACAAAAGGCATGCACGTGCACCCACAGACACGCAGACACACACACAGAAAACAAGTAACACCGACAAAGAAATAAAGGAAACACAATTTACCTCATATAATAAATATAGACTAAAATATGGAAGAGTTTAGAATATAAACAGAAAAAAGAATGTTTTTATTAATCTATAGGTTTATCTGCCAAACCAATCATAATAATAAAAACTTAAAACATTATTTGTAGAAAATCCACTAGTCCAGAGTAATGGGCAAAAAATTTTTTAATTAAACAAATTTAAAGTTTCAACATTATAACTAATAGACTAAAATTAATTTTGGGTGAAAGTTAAAACTGGGGCAGAAAATATTCTTTTCCACAACAGAATGCGAGCAAAACAAATTAAAATTAATTCTAAATGAAAGTTAAAATTTGGGTGGGGAATACTCTTTTTTGTAAAGAATGCCAGTAAAAACAGGTACATAGTAAAATTTCGAGAGAGAATCTTCCCAATGTACAAATATAAATATAATAACTAACACAGACAGGGGTGATTAATTGATGATAAAATGGTCAGAGGAAGATGGTTAGAATACAGATGTTTAAAGTTTTTCAAACCACTTTTCAAATTAATTACAAATAAGGTGTCTTTACAAGGGACAGAACTCCTAGACTCCTCTTTAACCAAGTGACCATTCTAGCTAGTATCACCATAATGGGGATGGACACACTGGGCCTTTTCTGCCTGCAGATGGACTGAGGTAGGAATCTTATAGCATTGACTCTGCAGTGCTCCTGGCAAAATGTTTAAGCTGAATTTATTTATTTATCTTTTTTTTTATTGCATTTTAGGTTTTGGGGTACATGTACAGAACATGCAAGATAGTTGCACAGGTACACACATGGCAGTGTGTTTTGCTGCCTTCCTCCCCTTCACCAACATTTGGCATTTCTCCCCAGACTATCCCTCCCCAGCTCCCCGCCCCCCCACTGTCCCTCCCCTATAGACTCCCTTCGCTATAGACTCCCTTCATTTTTCATCACTTACCTATGAGTGGGAATATGTGATATTTCATTTTCTGTTCTTGTGTCAGTTTGCTGAGAATTATGTTCTCCAGATTCATCCATGTCCCTACAAACGACACGAACTCATCATTTTTAATTGCTGCATAATATTCCATGGTGTATATGTGCCACATTTTCCCAATCCAGTCTATCATCAATGGGCATTTGGGTTGGTTCCAGGTCTTTGCTATTGTAAACAGTGCTGCAATGAACATTCGTGTGCATGTGTCCTTATAGTAGAATGATGTATAGTCCTTTGGATATATACCCAGTAATGGAATTGCTGGGTCAATTGGAATTTCCATTTCTAAGGCCTTGAGGAATTGCCACACTGTCTTCCACAATGGTTGAACTAATTTACACTCCCACCAACAGTGTAAAAGTGTTCCTATTCCTCGACATCCTCTCCAGCATCTGTTGTCTCCAGATTTTTTAATGATCACTATTCTAACTGGCATGAGATGGTATTTCAATGTGGTTTTGATTTGCATCTCTCTAATGACCAGTGATGATGAGCACTTTTTCATACGTTTGTTGGCCTCATGTATGTCTTCTTTTGTAAGGTGTCTGTTAATATCCTTTGCCCATTTTGGAATGGGCTTGTTTTTCTCGTGTAAATCTGTTTGAGTTCTTTGTAAATTCTGGATATCAGCCCTTTGTCAGATGGGTAAACTGCAAAAATTTTTTCCCATTCTGTTGGTTGCCAATTCACTCTAGTGACTGTTTCTTTTGCTGTGTAGAAGCTGTGGAGTTTGATTAGGTCCCGTTTGTCTATTTTGTCTTTTGTTGCCAATGCTTTTGGTGTTTTGTTCATGAAGTCCTTGCCTCTCCTATGTTCTGAATGGTTTTGCCTAAATTTTCTTCTAGGGTTTTTATGTTGCCAGGTCTTATGTTTAAGTTTTTAATCCATCTGGAATTAATTTTAGTGTAAGGTGTCAGGAAGGGGTCCAGTTTCTGCTTTCTGCACATGGCTAGCCAGTTTTCCCAACACCATTTATTAAACAGGGAATCCTTTCCTTATTGCTTGTTCTTTTCAGGTTTATCAAAGATTGTATGGTTGTAGATATGTTGTGTTGCCTCCGATGCCTGTGTTTTGTTCCATTGGTTTATATCTCTGTTTTGGTACCAGTACCATGCTGTTTTGATTACTGTAGCCTTGTAGTATAGTTTCAAGTTTGGTAGTGTGATGCCTCCCGCTGTGCTCTTTTTGCTTAGCTTTGACTTGGTTATGCGGGCTCTCTTTTGTTTCCATATGAAGTTCATGGTGGTTTTTTCCAGTTCTGTGAAGAAAGTCAATGGTAGCTTGATGGGGATAGCATTGATTCTGTAAATTACTTTGGGCAGTATAGCCATTTTCACGATATTGATTCTTCCTAACCATGAATATGGAATGTTTCTCCATCTGTTTGTGTCCTCTCTTATTTTGTTGAGCAGTGGTTTGTAGTTTTCCTTGAAGAGGTCCCTTACATTCCTTGTAAGTTGTTTTCCTAGGTATTTTATTCTTTTTGTACAAATTGTGAATAGCAGTTTATTCTTAATTTGGCTCCCTTTAAGTCTGTTATTGGTGTAGAGGAATGCTTGTGACTTTTGCACATTGATTTTATATCCTGAGACTTTGCTGAAGTTGCTTATCAGTTTCAGGAGTTTTTGGGTTGAGGCCATAGGGTCTTCTGGGTATACTATCATGTCATCTGCAAATAGAGACAATTTGGCTTTCACCTTTCCTATTTGAATACCCTTTATTTCTTTTTCTTGCCTGATTGCTCTAGCTAGAACTTCCAGTACTATATTGAATAAAAGTGGTGAAAGGGCATCCTTGTCTAGTGCCGGATTTCAAAGGGAATGCTTCCAGTTTTTGCCCATTTGGTATGATATTGGCTGTTGGTTTGTCGTAAATAGCTTTTATTACTTTGAGATATGTTCCGTCAATACCGAGTTTATTGAGGGTTTTTAGCATAAAGGGCTGTTGAATCTTGTCAAATGCCTTCTCTGTGTCAATTGAGATAATCACGTGGTTTTTGTTTTTGGTTGTGTTTATGTGGTGAATTACGTTTATGGACTTGTGTATGTTGAACCAGCCTTGCATCCCCGGGATGAATCCTACTTGATCATGATGGATAAGTTTTTTGATGTGCTGTTGCAATCAGCTTGCCAGTATTTATTGAAGATTTTTGCATCTATGTTCATCATAAATATTGGCCTGAAATTTTTTTTCCTTGTTGAGTCCCCGCCGGGTTTTGGTATCAGGGTGATGTTGGTCTCATAAAATAATTTGGGAAGGATTCCCTCTTTTTGGATTATTTGGAATAGTTTCAGAAGGAATGGTACCAGCTCCTCTTTGTATGTCTGGTGTAAGTCAGCTGTGAACCCATCTGGACCTGGGCTTTTTTTGTGTGGTAGGCTCTTAATTGCTGCCTCGACTTCAGACCTTGTTATTGGTCTATTCACAGTTTCAGCTTCCTCCTAGTTTAGGCTTGGGAGGACACAGGTGTCCAGGAATTTATCCATTTCTTCCAGGTTTACTAGTTTATGTGCATAGAGTTGTTTGTAATATTCTCTGATGATGGTTTGAATTTCTGTGGAATCTGTGGTGATTTCCCCTTTGTTGTTTTTTATTGCATCTACTTGGTTATTCTCTCTTTTCTTTTTTATCAGTCTGGCTAGTGGTCTGTCTATTTTGTTGATCTTTTCAAAAAACCAGCTCTTGGATTTATTGATTTTTTGAAGAGTTTTTTGTGTCTTTATCTCCTTCAGTTCAGCTCTGATCTTAGTTATTTCTTGTCTTCTGCCATGTTTTGAGTTTTTTTGATCTTGCTCCTCTAGCTCTTTCAATTTTGACGATAGGGTGTCAATTTTGGATCTCTCCACTCTTCTCATATGGGCACTTATTGCTATATATTTTCCGCTGGAGACTGCTTTAAATGTGTCCCAGAGATTCTGGTATGTTGTGTCATCATTCTCATTGGTTTCAAAGAACTTCTTTATTTCTGTTTTCATTTCATTGTTTACCTAGTCAACATTCAAGAGCCAGTTGTTCAGTTTCCATGAAGTTGTGCACTTCTTAGTTTCTGAATTCTGAGTTCTAGCTTGATTGCACTATGGTCTGAGAGACTATTTGTTATGATTTCAGTTGTTTTGCATTTGCTGAGGAGTGCTTTACTTTCAATTATGTGGTCAATTTTTGAGTAGGCATGATGTGGTGCTAAGAAGAATGTATATTCTGTGGATTTTGGGTGGAGAGTTCAGGTTTGCTTGTTCCAGGTCTGAGTTCAAGCCCTGGATATCCTTGTTGATTTTCTGTATGGTTGATCTGTCTAATATTGACAGTGGAGTGTTAAAGTCTCCCACTATTACTGTTTGGGAGTCTAAGTCTCTTTGTAAATCATTAAGAACTTGCCTTATATGTCTGAGTGCTCCTGTATTGGGTTCATATATATTTAGAATTGTTAGCTCTTCTTGTTGTATCGATCCTTTTACCATTATGTAATGACCTTCTTTGTCTCTTTTGATCTTTGTTGCTTTAAAGTCTATTTTATCAGAGACGAGAATTGCAACTCCTGCTTTTTTTTTGCTCTTTATTTGCTTGGTAAATCTTCCTCCATCCCTCTATTTTGAGCCTTTATGTATCTTTGCATGTGAGATGGGTTTCCTGGAAACAGCACATTGATGGGTTTTGTTTTTTTATCCAGTTTCTCAGTCTGTGTCTTTTGATTGGTGCATTTAGCCCATTTACATTTAGGGTTAATATTGTTATGTGTGAATTTGATGCTAGCTGGTTGTTTTGCCCATTAGTTGATGCAGATTCTTCATTATGTTGATGCTCTTTAGCATTTAGTGTGATTTTGGAATGGCTGGTACTGGTTGTTCCTCCCTATGTGTAGTGCCTCTTTCAGGAGCTCTTGTAAAGCAGGCCTGGTGGTGACAAAATCTCTGAGTAGTTGCTTGTTTGCAAAGGATTTTATTTTTTCTTCACTTATGAAGCTCAGTTTGGCTGGATATAAAATTCTGGGTTGAAAGTTCTTTTCTTTAAGGATGTTGAATATTGACCCCCACTCTCTTCTGGGTTGTAGGGTTTCTGCTGAGAGATCTGCTGGGCTTCCCTTTGTGGGTGACCGAACCTTTCTCTCTGGCTGCCCTTAGTATTTTCTCCTTCATTTCAACCCTGGTGAATCTGATGATTATGTGCCTTGGGGTTGCTCTTCTTGTGGAATATCTTTGAGGTGTTCTTAATATTTCCTGGACTTGAATACTGGCCTGCCTTGCTAGGTTGGAAAATTTTTTCTGGATAATATCCTGAAGAGTATTTTCCAGCTTGGATTCATTCTCTTTGTCACATTCTGGTACACCTATCAAACGTAGGTTAGGTCTCTTCACATAGTCCCACATTTCTTGAAGACTTTGTTCATACTTTTTTGCGCTTTCTTTTCTAATCTTGGTTTCTCATTTTATTTCATTGAGTTGATCTTTGACTTCTGATATCCTTTCTTCTGCTTGGTCAATTCGGCTGTTTAAACTTGTGCAGGTTTCACGAAGTTCTCATGTTGTGTTTTTCAGCTCCTTCAATTCATTCATATTCCTCTCTAAGTTGTCCATTCTTGTTATCGTTTCCTCGAATGTTTTTTCAAATCTTTTTTCAAGGTTCTTAGTTTTTTTGCATTGATTTAGAACATGTTCTTTTAGCTCATGCAAGTTTCTCATTACCCACCTTCTGAAGTCTGATTCTGTCATTTCATCACCCTCATTCTCCATCCAGCTTTGTTCCCTTGCTGGTGAGGAGTTTTGGTTTTTTGTAGGAGGCGAGGTGTTCTGGTTTCAGGTGTTTTCCTCCTTTTTGTGCTCTTTTCTTCCCATATTTGTGGGTTTATCCACCTGTCATCTGAGTAGTTTCTGATGTTTTGATTGGGTCTTAGATTGGATGCCCAGATTGTTGATGATGAAGTATTTCTGTTACTTAGTTTTTCTTCTAACAGTCTAGCCCCTCTGCTGTAGGACTGCTGAGGTCCACTCCAGGCCCTGCTTGTCTGGGGTGCACCTGTAGCAGCTTTGGAACTGTGAGGGATGCTACCAGTTTGTGTTTGATGCCCATCAAATGTCAGTCTGATCCATCCTTTTTGAGGTGACTCTTTGGATATACAGGGTCAGGGAGCTGCTTGAGGAGGTGGTCTGTACTTTATAGGAGCTCAAGCGCTGAATTGTGAGCTCCGTTGATCATTCAGGGCTGTTAGGCCGGTATGTTTAAGTCTGCTGCAGCAGAACTCATAAAACCCCTTTTTTTTTCTCAGATTCTCTGTCTCAGGGAGTTAGGGCTTTCTTTATGAGTATCTGTTACCTTTTCCTGCCCAGCTAGAAGGCAGTCTAGTCACTATTTTCCTGCCAAGGCTCTGCCCTGCTGTTGTGGGCTCCACCCTGTTGGCAGAGTTTCTCTGTTATGGCAGGTTGCCTCGGCAGTGGCAGGCTGCGTCAGCAATGGGAGTGTACCTCAGTAGGGGCGGAATGTCTCGGTAATGGCGGATTCCCGTCCCCCACCAAGCTGCACCGTCCTTGGTTCAGCTGTGTCCTCAGTGAAACTCTCAATCTTGAGCATTTTGAATTGCCGTTTTGTTTATCTTTGTGGGGGTGGGACCCGCCGAGCCTGATCACCTGGCTTCCTGCCTCAGAGCCTTTTTTTTAAGTTGAACAGTTGACTCTCTCCCAGGTGTTTCAGTCACCTGCTGATCGGGCACTGGGATCTCTGTGATTTCCCGTGCAGCGACCCACTGAGCCAGCTCAAATGTCGCTTTTCGGGAATCTTCTGATCTGGCTCACTGTTCGAGTCCCATTTAATCAGATGAATATGCTAATCTGCCCTCCCAAATCTCAGATTGCCAGTTTAACAGGGCACCCAGACCAGTGCTTTTTGTGCGGTGTTCCACTGTGCTGTGGCGCCGGCCGAAATGGCCACATGAGCCAAAACAGCTACGCTGGTGTCTCGTGTCTTTTTACACCTGGGAATTTCCCCGTCCTGTGGGCAACAAAGATCCATCTGGAAATGCGGATTGCACTTACCCTCTGCGTCTTCACTGAGAGTTGCAATTCTGATTTGCTTTTACCGTGCCATCTTCTTTTTTCCCTGTGGCTGATGTATTTTTACCTTGAGTGCCAAGCTCACAATTTTAAGCTTAATTAATCATGAGGACACTTTCAGTTGACTTCAGAATGTAGACCTTTGAGCCAGACAGCTGACCTGTCCTCTACGAACAAAGTTTTCAGCAAGAAGATAACATTGTTGATACTCTGCTCTGACAGAGTTCTGGGTGACATGCGGTTCTCTGCCAGCAGCTCTGGACTCCTATTTTTTACAGTACAGAAATTGACAGGAGTAGGGTTAAGTCTTGTCAATGCTGTTTGTCCATCTGAAAATTGGACTCCCTTGGTACTGATCACAGTTGGAGGGGGATGAATCCAAGGAGCCTAGTGAGCTGAAATCAACAAGAGCATTCTGTGGTCTAAAATTGAATCTTCAGTGAAGGATTTCTGCAGTGACTTGTGTTTGGACTTGAAGTTGCTTTGCCACTTTAGTGTTTTTTCATCAAGTGGAAAAGCTTGCGACCCCCCCTTTTTTCTGACATCCTTTCATTCTTTGCATCCTTCTGACACTGTTTGGTGCCTGTAGGGGAGAGAGAAAAAATAATCAAATGAGCATTATTGTCAGGTCCTCCTGAAGGCCGAGTCTGGAGGGACTGTTAGGTGATGATATCCTAGCGGCAAAACGATCTCCTGCTGGCAGCTTGAGCTGAGGGTGAGCATTTGACTGGCTGAAGCGGGAAGCACCATCCACAAGTGAGAAGAAAACACCCCTGAATTTCCATGAATTTCCTGTCAGCCTGGGGTGCAGGATATAGGGACTTCAACTATGCCCAATCAGCAGCCAGGAACATCAGCTCATTTTCTCCTAATCCCCTCTGTCTGGAGCAGAGTGATGGCATTTTCTCCCACTGAGGATGTATTCAGCATCAATCATGCATGCTCAGACACGGAGGACTGCAGAAGGAGGACCCTCTGCAGAGAAACCCACCCCCTTACAACTCCATGTCCCAGTCTCCTGGGAAGGAGCAGAAGGGCCACGGGCAACACTCTGGATATAAAAAGCAGCAGGAACCTCAGACAACATCCATGTCCTCTTCCACCTTTAAAAACAGAGTAGTAGTGATACCACAGGGGTAAGATTGAATAAGGCCACATGACTTGCTATTAACAACACGGAACTAGAACCAGGCACTAAGGCTCTTTTAATAGAGATTGGAGGAAGTGAGAGGAAAGGGTCCAATCTGGAGGTCTCGGCAGTCATGAGAGGCTGTTGGGTTACCTTGGCTAGGACAGGAATACAAAGTTTTACAAAGAAAAATGATGTCTCTGGTATTTATTTGGTCGATTAGAAAATTAAAAAGAAAAAATCAAACGTAATTGTAAGTATTCTTTCAAAGGGGATCAGGAAAGAAAGAAAATTTGAAATGAAATTAGCAAAGAGTGGGGAGTGTAAGTATGGACTTACTTATTTTTCCTAATGCCCAGAAGTTGATTCCGTACCTGGTTAAACGTTAAGGCATTTCTAGGAATATTTTCACTATCTAGACCATCAAAACTGAAGTACGAGGTGAAAAGGAATAGTTTTTGTTTTACTACATTCTCTTCTCCCACTTTTTTTTTCCCCCAAGTACATTTTGGAAAAGGTTTCTTTTTTTTTTTTTTTTTTTTTTTTTGAGACGGACACTTGCTCTGTCACCAGGCTGGAGTGCAGTGGCACAATCTTGGCTCACTGCAACCTCCACCTCCTGGGTTCTAGCGATTCTTCTGCCTCAGCCTCCCGAGTAGCTGAAACCAGAGATGCGTGCCACCAGGCCCGGCTAATTTTTGTATTTTTAGTAGGGAAGGGGTTTCACCATGTTTGCCAGGATGATCTCGATCTCTTGATTTCATGATCTGCCCACCTCAGCCTCCCAAAGTGCTGGGATTACAGCTGTGAGCCACCGCACCAGGCTGACAAGTTTTCTTTTAATATTTAACGTCAACTTTAAGAGTAGCATAAGGAAGTATTCACAGGCAATCTCCTGCAGAATTTTAGTCTTGATGTGTTATTTGTTCTCTTCAGGAGCGTGAGACTAATTAAGTTCTCTTTGGGGGCTTAATTGACCAAAAGTAAAATGTTTACACTGCAGCTCTGAGTCAATCAGTGGGCTATAAAATTTGTGTGGTTAAACATCACCTGCAAGATTTACTGTAAACTGCCAAAGAAAATGCTAAATTCCACTACATGTAATATGGGAAGTATTATTTCTGTACATTAGGCGTCAATGTATTGACTGTTTTTCACTTTGTCTTGTATTGAAAATTGAGCAAGTATACTTTAAGCAGAGGCTAAAGGTCTAATCTCCTAATTTTGTTGGTTCCCTGTCTAATTTTTTTTTTGTGTGTGCTATATGAACAGAACTATTGAGAGGGGAATACAGATCCCATCAAATACTGATGGATGCTCAGCCTTTTCTTCGGAGTAGCCACACATATGGAACACTTCCATGTGGGCAACCTGAGGTCGTAGAAGACCAGTTGTCTTTCTCATCTTCAGCCACATATCAGAATCATGTGGGAGCATTTTAAAACTACAGACACCCAAACCACACCCCAGATCATGTCAGTGAGAATCTCAAGGTGTGAGTTCAAGGCATGCATCTTAACTGAAATCTCACCAGGTGTTTACTACATGGCAGCGGGATGTAGAAATACAAAATGGAACAACCCAATTTTGCATCATTTTCTTTCCTTTCCCCGTTTATCTCATGATTGGCTTTGTTCCCTGTGGTTTCATGGATTTTACTGTTCTCTCTGACAACTTTACTGAAATCTCTCTTATCAATTGGGCTGAACCAAAGCAAAGATTGTCCTGTAGACAGATGCTTGTCTGTCATCTTGTGTATGCATAAAGAAGGTTCTGGAATCAATTTCTCAGAGTTAATTCAGAAAACTCTTTCTCATATACCCTGGCCTCAAGATTCATCTGAGTTGCATTTTAGACCCTTAACTGGACATGTAGAAATGGAAATGAGAATAAAATAGAGAGAAGTTAGAATGATATATCTCATGATGTATGCAGATTAGAAGTCCTGTCCTCTGCATGTACTTTTGAATGTCATAAATATCATTCAGTTAATGTCAGCACAAATGAGTCCATGTGGTGAGAATACTGAGTCCCTGGCAATCCCATCTACATTTTCACAAGGCTGCACATCTGGGGCTGAAGACAAACCTGACTCCAGTCTGGTAGGGAACTCCCACTTGTGACCCAGGTTCAAGTTTAGTTTTCTAAGTGGGGTTCTCTGTGCTCAGCTTTAACACTTCTCATTCGGAGGAACTAGAGATGAGTAAGGGTGGACTTAGCCGGGTTCCTCCAAGGCCAACTCAAGAGAAAAACCTATGTGTAAATGATGTATTAAAGCCACACTCCCTGTGGAAACAACAATGGAGTTGGAGATACAGGGAGGAAAGGTAAATTTCTGAAGAGAGTGTGCAATTCCAGGCAAGGAACCCTGTGTTCCACAGCTTAAACTGTGTACTTGGATGAGGACAATGAGGCCCGGCCCTCCCGTGGTTATGAGAGAGACCCTCAAGACAGCAGAAGGAATACAGCATAGTTCAGAGAGCAATGAGGAGATGGGGACAGAAAGGGCCTGGCAGGGTGGGAGCCCATGGGACGCTGGGGTAAGACCAGACAGAAGTTACAGCAGCCCCTGGAGAGAACAAATGGAAGAGAAAAAGCAGTGGAAGAATGGGCTGTCACCATAGACACAGAGAAATAAGAAGTGAGTGCAGCTCAGAGCCATAGAAGTGATTACCTCTGCACCCTGAGCATGAAGGCCAATGAATCCACTTGCTGAACTAGACTTTTATTTTCATCTTCTTTGGTTTCAAAACACTGGAGGCATGAATGTAGCCAGTGACTTGATGCCATTGGGTGTTTGATGAGCCTTCGAGTTGATCATCTTCCAGCTGCGGAGCATTCTTCATCGCAATGGAGGGGGGTAAAACCAGCTCTGAAAATAAAATACAGCCAATGGCATCCACTGGCATCCATGATCTTACTGTGACTTTCTCTTCCACCCAAAGGACATCAAATCATGAATGGGGCCTTGGACAAGAAAGTCCAAAGGGGAGGGGAAGCCAACAGAGTGACTTGAATGCTTTCTTTTTTGTTAATCTTTCTTACATTACTCAGTAATGACAAGTGTGCCAGGAGGCAAAGGCACTCCTGATTCACAAAAATATTCAAGAAACTGAAGATTAAGAAACACAAATAGCTTCAGGGTAGATATGGCCAAAGCAAGGGAATCACACTGTATGTTGGCTGTGCTTTGGGGAGGGAAGAGATTATAAAAGTGAAAGTTAAATAAGAGCTGAGTCCAAACAGGACAAAAGGGTGGAAAGGCCTGGCAGGGTGGCAGCCTGTGGGACACAGAGGTGAGACCAGGCAGAGGTTACAGCAGCTGATGAGAAAAGAACCGGGGAAGACTAAACCTGGAGAATTTACAAAACTTGCATCATTATATGATCTATTGCATTTATATATACACACTATGTAGCATACACACCAAATGTACATAATATACATAGCAAATGATGATGTAAATGCATATATCTGTAGATATTAAATTAATGAAAAATAATATAGAGAGATTTGGGAGATATTTAATGTAATAGTATAATCAATATTCTCTTCCATTGAAATTGAAAAAATAATAGAAACATGAGAAGAATGAGAAAGAAAAGGTGTGCAAAGAAACAAATGACCTGTTAGACATCAGGGAGATGACAAAGGAAACTATGAGTGAGGCACAAGTCATTCACTCTTTGCTCTTAGTGGAAGCCTGGTTCTGGCTCTGGACTCCAGGGAACGTGGGCAAGAAAGCATGCATATGAGCCCGTGAGTTGGGTCTTGGCTGGGGGTATAAGAATCCATAGTGAAACAATGGAGAAGGCGGTGGGACGAAATCAGTAATTAGTTACATGGCACATGTAAAAGACGGCACATCCCTGACACCTGCTGAGCACCTTTCAGGTATCCTCTCCAGGGACCCAAATGGTGCTCATTATCTCATGTCACCCTCCCTCCTCCTGAGGACAGGGGTCTTTGTATTTTTCAGCTGAGGGCTCCAGGAGGAGATATTGACTGGGATGAAGAGTGAGAATGAACAGGATCCAGGGCGTTAAGGAAATCTGAGTGGAAGTGGATCCCTGTGAGAAGGAAACTGAGGACATGGCCGAGGACATGAGTGGAGATGACCAACTAAATAGATTTTCATAAAAGAGACAAATGTGAACACTTTATAAGTGAAAATTGCCCTTTGTTTTCAAATCAAGCCTTTCTCTGTAGGGAAAGCTTGAGCAGAGCAGATCCATGCTGACACCACTGCTGGGGTCAGGGCTGTGCACTGTGCACACTATTCACACATTATTGTCGAGAAGGCACACACAGGAAGCATCCTTGTGTAATCAAAAGGGCGCATTCATTCATCTTGGCCCATCTGCATGGATGAATGTGCTCTCTTTTGGCCCATGTTCCTGATGGCAGGGTCGTCCATGTCACAGGCATCTCACTTCTGAGACACGTGTCAGAGCATTTCCCTTCCTTCTTGTAGGAGACCCATTCTGGCTGGGGTGTTCATGAGATGCAGCTCCACAGCTTTACAGGGACCTAAACATGGCCAACTTGAGAGTTGAAACCCTGGGGGTGGGGAGAGACTAGGAGCATTTATTCCCTGAGTGCTTTTCCAAGGGAGAGCCTGCTGGAGCTGTAGGTCCCCCTGGAGGGACTGGAGGAGCCACTGATTCTGCTGACAAACAGAATGCACAGAGGTAATCCTTCTTGAGAAATCTGTGCCAGGGACTACAGGACTTCTTTATCCTAGACCAGCAACTTATTCTGTTTCAGCTTGACTTTATTGGAAAATAATTTCTACAAAGGAAAGAGGGTGAGCACCCATCGTGCCTCCATCCCTGACAGGACCCCCACAGAGAAATGACAGAGACTGGGCCATGAAGTCAGGCAGACAAGGGGACCATGTTCTCACCATGACTAGTCGGGCCATCCTGGGCAAGTGAAGGAAACTTTCTGAGCCTCAGCATCCTAAGCTCTAATGTGGAGATGCCACTGCCCCCTTGGGAGCATTCCTTCAGCTCTGAATATTTATAGCAGGACAGAGCTTGTTTGGCAAGGGGCAGGGCATACGCATACGCAAGATCAAAGAGTATTTTATTTGTTTAATGAATCACTGTGATCACAGAAAAGTATTTGCTTTTTCAAACTCAGGGAGAAATGCAAAATGGAAAAGGGGATGGTCCAGGTAGGAAAGGCACTCACTGACTGAAACAGAATAGAGAACAACATTTTCGTTGCTAGTTTCTTTCTTTGTGTGAGTGTGTGTGTGTGTGTGTGTGTGTGACACAGGTCTCACCTTGCTGCTCAGGCTGGAGTGCAGTGGTACAATGATGACGCACTGCAGCCTCAATTTCCCAGGCTCAGGTGATTCTTCCACCTCAGCCTCCCATAAAGCTGGAAGTACAGGTGTGTGTCACCATACCTTGCTAATTTTTCATAGGGACATGTTTTTGTAGTGTTGCCCACGCTGGTCTCAAACTCCTCAGCTCAAGCAATCTACCTGCCTCAGCCTCCCAAAGGGCTGGAATTACAGGCATGAGCCACCACACCTGGCACTGTTGCTAATTTTATTACAACATAATCAGATATACTGGGGTACATCACAGAATTACCTGCTCTTACTAGAAAATAGGTTGATGGTTGAAACTCCCAACAATCCACATGAAACTCCCAGAATGGAAGTTAAAAAAAATACAATGAGCAAGAAGAAATGAAAATCGGAATTTTTCTCTACGTAGCCTGTGAAGCTCCTACACCAAGGGGCACTTGCTCAGAGGAAGGGTTTTCTGGTCATGATGAGGATAGAAACCGCTCTGCTTTGCTCATCAGTTAGGCCAGTACCTCATGAGGGACACTCATTCTCAATGGTTTTTATGATAATATAGCACTGAGACCAAATCACGATTGAAACAACAAGCCCACACATGGAAAAAGCCACTGGAGCTCTGCAGAGGATGCAAGCCTGGGCCTGCATAAAGGAAGGGATGCTGGACTGAGTCAGTGGAGGGAGGACATCTCCCAGCAGGTAGAGTCGCAGTCCCCAACCTTTTTGGCACCAGCATCCGGTTTCATGGAAGACAATTTTTCTGGGTTCAGGGTAAGGGGGATGGTTTCTGGATGATTCATGCACATTACATATTTTGTGTACTTTATTTCTATGATTATTACATTACTCCACACACTACAGTGTGACCTCCACAATGTCTAATGGGCAGTCTTTCTTCCTCTTTAAAATAAGAGTCTGTGCCCCAGGAAGCAGGACTTCTCTCTCACCAGGGTACTTCCTGCTCTTGATGCCCTCACGTATAGATGCCATACTTACCATTAGGAGCAGTCTCCTCTTTAAGCTCTTTGGAGCAGGTACTCTGTACTGTCACCATGTTTCCCCCAGGGTCCTCAGAACAGAGATTTGCCTAATGGGCCTCAAAGAAGCTTAAACTGAATGGCAGTTCTTTGGTCCCAGACATTTACCAACAGACTACAAGTTATTTGTCTGCAGGATCTTACAGGGCACAGAGAGGATTCTCGTAAATGTGATATAGCCTTTTGCTGAGGAAAGTAAGTGCTTCTGTGCCTGTGTGAGAGTCAGTGAGTAGGATTTTAACTCTAGTCCCACCTCACACCAGACTGCTAACGTGGAAGAGTTGTTAAACACATCGTGCCTCCATTTTCCATCCTTAACACAATGAAGTTAAAATACCCATTTCTATTTTCCTAGAACTAAGGAAAGGATGGAATTAATTTAGATGAAGGGACCATTCAGTATCTCAGAGAGAAGCAGGCACTTAGTCATCACTTTTGTGATGATGAATCTATAGGACTTACTGTATCTCTTCAGTTGCTTGGCCAGAGAGTAGACAGTAGCTTGACTTACAAGAATTTTCTCTGAGGTCTTGGAACTGCTGTTGGCTCTCTGCCAGCTGGGAGCACTGTAAGGCCAGTTGACTTGCCAGGAGCTTGGACACGCCCATCCCTCTCCCTGCCTGAAAATTATGTCACCGGAATACGCCCATCATCTAGCTCCACCTTGGAAATCCCCTCTGCACTCAGCACTAAGCTCTGCACCCAGCACCTAGCACCGCCTTGGTAATCCCGTCTGAACTTAGCACTAAGCTCGGCACTCGGCACCTAGCCTGCTCACCAGAAATCCTGCCTGCCTACCAATAGCAGGTTGCCACGTCCATGTCCAGTTTGTCCACAGGCAATCAGAACGCCTTCCCTCCCTGTAAAACCCCACGCCTCATGCAGGCTTCAGTTTCCTCATTTTAAACTCGGCAATAAACCTCACAAGAGAATTACTTTTACAAGCACAATTCCTGGTTGATTTATAGGATGTTCATTTCTGCCCTCTCCCTGGATAAATGTCCAGCAGATACCACATGCTGTCGTTGGTGGCAGAAGAGGTATAACAGGGACTAGGGAGAAGAAACCAAAACACATGATGGGTCAAAAACAAGTGAAATCAAATAGGTTTAGTCAGCACTGAGGGATGACAACAGCTGGAATGGTTGACTTACGGTTAAGAAGAACTTGATTAACACCCCACAGCACTTAATCGCCAAAACAGAGTTTAGGATACCAGAGCTCAGCATCAAAGGCACTGCCTGTAGCTCTGACTCTACAAGAGTGAGGGAGGTTAGCAACCGGCATTCCAGGTAACCATCTGCAGTTACAATAACAGAATTAGAAGGTGGGGTGTCATGGAATCTTAGGAGCCCTGCATTCCAATTGCCCAGGCTGTGCTGAAACCCAAGGCCCCCTAATCTCACCTGAGAGTCACTGATGGGGACCATTTCCTCAGCAGTCCCTCTCAGTATTTGCTCGCCCTTGTGATAGTGCTGCAGACTCACCTCTTTCTTAGTATGTCTAAGCACATTCCTCTTTGTCCGTCTCTTGTGTGTATAAAATCATCAAGGTGGAGACACTGTGTAAGAAATATACTTGACAATTACTGGGTCAAAGAGGAAACTAAAGAGAAATGTAAAGATCTCTTGAAAGCTTGGCACAGTGATGTATGCCTACAGTCGTACGCCTACAGTGGGAGGCTGAGGCAGTAGGATCACTTGGGTCCAGGAGTGCAAGGCTGCAGTGAGAGCTGTAACTGCACCTGCGAATAGCCACTGAGCTCTTAGCCTGAACAACATAGTGAGACCCCCAACTCTAACAACATATAAAGCTATCTTGAGACAAATGAAAATGGAAACACAACATGTCAAAACTTATAAGTTGTAGCAAAAGCAGTTTTAAGAGGGAAGTTTACAGCATTAAATTCCTGCTTTAAAAAAGATCTCAAACCAACAGCCTAAACCTCGACATCTTAAGTAGCTAGAAAAAGAACAAACTAAACCTCAAGTTAGTAGAAGGAAGGAAATAAAGATCACAGCAGAAAGAAAATGAAATAGAAAACAAAAATAAAAGAAAAAAAAAGCTAAACAAAATTGACAAACCCTTAGCAACACTTATTAAGAAAAAAAGGACTCAAATCAGAAATGAAAGAGGAAATATTACAACTGTTAACACACAGTGTTCAATCAAAGAAAAGCCCGACTGGGCTTTTCTGTTTCTTTTCTTTTCTTTTTTTTTGAGACGGAGTGTCGCTCTTGTTACCCAGGCTGGAGTGCAATGGCGCAATCTGGGCCCACCGCAACCTCCGCCTCCTGGGTTCAGGCAATTCTACTGCCTGAGCCTCCTGAGTAGCTGGGACTACAGGCACACGCCACCATGCCCAGCTAATTTTCTGCACTTTTAATAGAGACGGGGTTTCACTATGTTGACCAAGATGGTCTCGATCTTTTGATCTCGTGATCCACTCGCCTCAGCCTCCCAAAGTGCTGGGATTACAGGCGTGAGCCACCGCGCACGGCCCGGGCTTTTCTGTTTCTACTAAACATTTAAAGAATTAATACCGGCTAGGCTAGGTGGCTCACACCTGTGATCCCAGCACTTTGGGAGGCCAAAGCAGGCAGATCACCTGAGGTCGGGAGTTCAATACCAGCCTGACCAACATGGAGAAACCCTGTCTCTACTAAAAAGAAAAAATTAGCCAGGCATGGTGGCACATGCCTATAATCCCAGCTTCTCAGGAGGCTGAGGCAGGAGAACTGCTTGAACCCGGGTGGGGGGAAAAGTTGCAGTGAGCCAAGATTATGCTACTGTACTCCAACCTGGGTGACAGAGCGAGACTCCATCTCAAAAAAAAAAAAAAATAAAGAGTTAGCACCAACCTTCACATTCTTCCCAAAAATGAAGAGGAGGGAATACTTCCAAACTTATCTTACAAGACCAGTATTGGCCTGATACCAAAACCAGACCAAGGACATTAGCAGAAACAATACCCCTGATGAATGCAGATGCAAAAATACTCAACAAAATACTAGCAAACCATCATCTTCAGCAATATATTAAAAGAATCATCCACATGGCATTTATCCCTGGGATGCAAAGATGTTTGAACATATGCAAATCAATAAATGTGATCTGCCCTATTAACAGAATGAAGGACAAAAACTAGACATTATCACAATAGATGGAGAAAAAGCATTTGACAAAATTAACACCTTTTCATAACAACTTCCAACAAAATAGGTAAAGAGGAAATTAATGTTGCTCAACTCAACAAGGCCATGTGTGACAAGTCAACACGTAACATCTAATAGTGTAAAGTTGAAGGCTCTTCCTTTAAGATGAGGAACAAAGTGATGGATACATTAGTCCAATCTGCTCATTCTACAATGTATATACATGTATGAAGCATCACAATGTACATGTAATTTCTTCTTGATTTCCATTTCCCGATACAACTTTTAAGACCATTGAGATCACTTGAGTGAAAAAGATGTGTTTTTGTAAGTTAATGAGATAACTGGCGACTGGGGGCCTCCAGATAACATCCATTAGGAAAAGAGATGTTACTTCCTCAGTATTTCAGGGAAAGGAGAGAGGGCAAAAACAGAGTATAAAGAATGTAGCTGGGCTGGGCGCGGTGGCTCACGCCTACAATCCCAGCACTTTGGGAGGCCGAGGCAGGTGGATCACGAGGTCAAGAGATCAAGACCATCCTGGTCAACAAGGTGAAACCCCGTCTCTACTAAAAATACAAAAATTAGCTGGGCATGGTGGCGCGCGCCTGTAGTCCCAGCTACTCGGGAGGCTGAGGTAGGAGAATGGCTTGAACCCAGGAGGCAGAGGTTGCGGTAAGCCGAGATCGCACCATTGCACTCTGGCCTGGGTAACAAGAACAAAACTCCATCTCAAAAAAAAGAATGTACCTGATAACTAGCCTGTGAGTTCTCACTCCTGAACCTTTCATTATCTGCACTAGCTTTAACACTCAACATTCCAGCCTGGCCAACAGGGTGAAACCCCATCTCTACTAAAAATACAAAAATTATCTGGGCGTGATGGCACACACCTATAATACGAGCTACTTGGGAGAATGAAATAGGAGAATCACTCGAGCCTGGGAGGTGGAGGCTTCAGTGAGCTGAGACTGCACCACTACACTCCAGACTGGGCAACAGAGTGAGACTGTCTCAAAAAAAAAAAAAAATTAAACCTCAAATTCACAACAAAGATTGGAGTTGTGAATAATACATTTCTAAGAACCAAAAGGAAAGATAATATTCTCACCCAATTAATCATGCAACAGGAAGGATTTCATCATGCATTATTTTGCAACAAGAACCTGGGCAATCTTATTTTGCTAAAAGGATATGACAGTATTCCTTGTCTTTTATGAAGTTTGTACGTAAGAATTTACTTGCTATAAAGCTTTACTTCTTAAAGTTCCTATTAAAATTTCTAAAAAACAAAGGGTCCACTGGACCAAGACGGTCAAAGTCAGTTTTCCTGTTTATTCAGACTTAAGCACTATACTATTATCAATGAAGTAAACTATACTTCAGAGACAGCTCAAAAAGGGGCAGTGTCAAATATGGTACAAGATATCAAAACCAAACTTTAAAAATATACAGATTTATAGAAACAAGGTTCATGAATCTTTTTAAAATCTTGACAAAATTCAGTCTTTTGTATTTTTCTCTGGCTCACCTGATTTTACCTCCAACCTTAAAGCTAAGGCTTTTATGATCATTCACTCCTCTGCTTCAGGTTAACCCCTCCACATGTGATCTTGGTCTTCACTCTTTAGGGAATTTCTGCCCACAAATAAATGCACTGTTCCTTATGTTGGAGACAAAATAACCAACTATTCCCAATCTTATGATCTTAATCTACTTAATCTCTCTTAGTAACATCCTTCTAGAAAAGAGGCAACAACTCACTACATGGGCATACTTGCCATCTCTTTCATGATCCAACCCACTGTATTTAAGCTTCTGTATCCTTCCCTCCTTTGCACTAATGGTATCTCCTCTAAGGTTACCAACAGCCTTTTTGCAAATCTAATGGCAGTAATATTTTTTTTCCACTATAAAGAAAGGTTATAAACATTACCATAGGTTCTAACTCTATAGAATTTTAAATATTACTTGTGAAACTATTATATAAGACATCATTTAAAAATATATAACCAAAGGAAATATAATCGCCAATACTTATAAACACTTAAAATATATTTGGGGCTTATTATATGTCAAATGCTCTAACTGCCTCTGTTCTGCCTCACACATATCGAATCATTTGATCCTCACAATAACCGAGGCAAGTATTGTTATCCCTGTTTTATACACAAGAAGCCATGCAATGAGAAGCTGTTTATCCAAGGTCACATGGTAGCAGAGCCAAGATATGAATTCAGTATATTTCTACAGCCTATACTTAATCTCTGTATTACAAAGCTTTCTCTGGTTAAGAGAACTACAAAAACCAAGCATTATAAAAAGGCATAATTTTATTTCTTTCAACTTGTTTTTTTATCACAATGAAATAACTAAACACAAAGCTTTACAAAAATAAATTTTTATTAAAAGCAGTAGAGTCTGAGCAGGAAGACAGTACAAAGAATGTAAACAATGTAAACATCACTACATTCAGCTCAGCCTGATTGAATGCTGAAAGACAACTCTAAAGGCTCTACATGTCCTTACTAACAAGATACATTAATTCTATTTTACACAGACAACAAACACACTCTAATTTTGATTAGGCAAAAGTATTTTATCGAAGTCGATCCCAGCGCCAAATACTGGCATCATCACAAACAGCTATAAGAATGCTGCTATCCCTGCTAAAACTGGTTTGTCGAATAGCAGCACCACATTTATGATGAGTCAGTGTTGTACATCTAGGGAAAAAACATGACAACAGGTTAAAGACCACACATAACATCATCAGTGGCTACCCTAAAACAGCAGATTAGAAAATAAGCAGATGTTCTTAGTCATACAAAAAGCATTTAAAACCAGGATATATTTCACTAAAAGCTCAGTCTCACATTTTATAAAATGTGGATATCTTACAAGCTCAACAGGCACTATATAGCTTGTATAAAAAGAGAACTCGTCACCAAGGTACTCAGGAAAAACAAAAATTTATTGGAATAAAAAGAATAACTTTAACTCAGAAAGCAGTAAATGTTAAAAATGACTTAAGGATGGCACTGCAGATATAAACTATCTTCTCTGCACTGGCACACAGTTGTGGAGAAAAGGGCTGAAATTCTGAACAGAAATTTCCAAATACTTACTTAGCTTTATGAGGATCTTCTACTTCTAAATCCCAAACATAAAGTTTGCCAACTTGATTGCCCAATGCAAGCATCTGTATAAACATATTTTTAAAAACATTAAATTAATAAAATTACCAGGTTCTAGGTAATTCGAGGAATCCTCAGACATCTTTCTTATTTCAGAAAAAGCTCAGTTCTAGCCTCTGTACTCTTGACTATTTCTGTGGGTCTTATACTCCTGATTTGTAAACAGAGATAAGAGCAATTAATACATCTCAAGTGTCTTGAGCAAATAAGAAGGCATTTTGCAAACTTATGAAGGGCTTTACAAATTTACATTGTTGGCATAGTACTTACTTTTTCTTCTGCCTTCAAGAATTACAGCAAAAGCTGTGGAAAGCTCTTCCAAAGTTTTCTTACAGAAAAATACCCAGGTAATTTGTTACCACAAAATCCTAACAATAACTTTAAATTTTTAGGTAGTATTTTATCTATCTTCGATTCTGAACTTTTCTCTAGGAAAAAGTTATATATATAGATTAATAATCTAATTACTAAAACATTAAGTCTTATTAATGTTATGGTAATGTTTATGTTATGGAAGATAAACACCTCATTTCCACCACTGATACCCAACTGCCAATTTCATTTTAAAGTAAGCACTGCAGATCATATGCAGAGTCACAAAAGTAGAATGAATAACATCAAAGGACAAAGTCATCAATACAGAACATCAGGATAGATTTGTAAAGGAAACAGAACATGGACACAACAGAAAAAGCTAGAATTACAATGGTCTTTCATAAGTGAGATCATTTCAAAATATAAAAGTACATTAGTACCTTTTGCCAGAAATCCATAGAAAACCTCATGTACCAAATGTCACACTGGCTGTAATCAAATCGCCCAAGAATAGTCACATTAGACTCACTGGGTTTAATTTTATCTATATCATCTTCCATCTTTCCAGGTTTCCAGCACACAATGGCATTTTCACAAGACTGAAACAGAGAGATAAATGAGAAAAAGAAATATTAATGTGGAACTGAATCTTACAAAGTAAAAACAAGGTTCTTCTCTACTATTGTTTTGGAATTCACAGCTCTCAGAACCTGGTTAATTCAGCTATCAAGTACAGTAATATGCATTCATTTATATTTACAGTCAATAACCACACTTAAGGACAAGAAATCTGATCATCAACAGAATTCGTTGATGCAAAAGAATCACCTTGTCTGGAATATCCATTTTGGAAGCCAACATTTCTCTTCCAAGTTAGACCAAGTTCAACTCTAGAAACTCTGACACCCAGAGACTTGAAGTGTTTTATACCAAAGATACAATTACAAACACAGAGAATTAGAATACATGGCTTTTCATAATCCAGCGTTAATCTGGCCCTTACTTCACTAGTTTCATTTTTCCCAATTCAGTTTCCCAGTTCACTTCTAATCACAGGTGGTTTCCTTTACCTTATTAACGATTAATCCTTATCCAGTATCTGTGCCACACAGTAGGTACTCAACAGGTATCTTAGGAAAGTTAATGAACTCACATAAATGCCCTTAGAACTCAGGTTATAAATAGGACAATCAAAGGCAAGTAAAGCAGTGGTTTAACATAAAGACACTGATATGGGGATAGGATTTGAAATAGGCTTCAAAGTTATATTTTTCCTACCCTATAAAATCAGATTTGTATACACACATTTAAGCAGTAAGTGGTAAAGAATACAATGAGAAAAAATTGTAAAACTGTGGGTACTATTCATATTACCGTCTAGGTCAGTAGTTTGCCCACTAAGGAACATTTGGCAACGTGCTGTGCTCTAATGATTAGAGGCCCGAGATGCTACTAAACATCTTATAATGCACAGGAAACCCCCTACAAATAAAGAATTATCTGGCCTAAACAAGACAGCACCGGGATTCAGAAATCCCGGTGTAACTGAACAGTGCCAACAGTGCCCCCTAGAGTTTTACTGAACAGCCTACGTAATATAGTCACAGGTGTCAGCCCTGTGGGATTCACAGGCATTTGAATAATTTAATAGTATGGCCACTTGAAGATCAGGGAGGACACAACACATTTTTTTTCTTCTCTACACTTTTTATTTAGACTTTTGAAATCCTAGTGCTATATGACATCTGTCATACAAGTTTTTAACTGTAAAGCACATCAGAAACCACCTAGTGTGATGACTCTTGGCTAAATGCAAAACTGGATCAACAACCTATAGAGTTTTCTCGAAAGACTCATCTCAGCTGCTACTGATTCAGAGTCTCTAAGAGAAAGCCAAAGCAGAAGAACTATAAAATAGCTCTTCAAGTGCTTCATACTAACCAGTGGTTAAAAGTACTGGAGTAGTCCCTGGATGGAAAAACTAAAGCAAAGTGATGTAGAAAGATGTTTCCAGAGCTAGTGGATGGCTGCACTTAAAAATTACCTAGAGAGCTTTTTAGAACTACCAATTCCCAGGGCTTTGTCCCAGATTTAGAATTTCTGAAGGTGAGGTCTAGGAAATCTGTTTTTCTAATGTTCTCCTAGTGATTCTGATGCAGAGCCAGATTTCAGACTACCAATATATTTCAGTTCCACCTACCACCTAAAATTCAGAAATCCTTTCCAGTGATCTGATGAAGTTCGAAGAGTAGAAATTTTAAAAAGTTACTGGCTTTTTACTTTTGCTGCCAGAACAATGGAGTAGACATATTTTTCCCCATCCATCCACTTAAAAGTCTGAGTATCATATATCAAGCAATATAAGACTCGGAAAGGTAGAGAAAAGGCAAACAAGTTAGAAGCCTTGGAACATAAACGATAACCGTTGAGTTTCCTGGGTTTTCTTTTGCCTTATGTATTCCAGACTGGATGCGAGAAAAGCCAGAAACTCAGAAATTCTAATGAGTTAAGAACAACAACAAAAGCCTGCTCTTTCTAGCCAAAGAATCAAAAAAAGTGGCAGCCTAGCAAGACAAAATTTTCAGACAAAAATGCTCTACTCCAGCCAAACACCCTAGAAAAATCTGTGGCCCATCTCTACCTGAACCAGCAAAAGCCCAGTGAAAACCCATCTTCAGATTGTAACAAAGCACCCCAAGTGCCTACCCCATAACTCTCCCTATACCTCTTGTAGCAATGGGGTGACCTCCTCCTCCTCTCGGGCTACTGTGGTATCAGAGGAGGCCCAGTAGAGTTAGGACATTCATAACCACTTGTTGGTAAGGCCACCACCAACTATCCACACTGCTAATGGAGACCACTAAGGGAGCAGTAATTAGGCATCCTGGCCCTTCCCAGCTGGGGTGGTATCAGCTGAGGCGTATGGAGACCCTTAACTCCCATACTCAGCAGTAATGAAGCACCAAACCAAGTCAACCAAGTGGGGAACCTGGACTTCCACCTTGACCTGGCACTCACAACACAATGCGCTTCCCTTCCCTAGCTGAAAAGGTATCAGAAAAAGCCTGCTCTAAGAGAAGACCTAAATAAGGTCCAGACTCATAATATCCAAAATACTCAAGTTTCATTTAGAAAATCACTCTTCATACTAAGAACCAGAAATACCAACTTTAAAAAGACAATCAACAGATATCAACACTGACATAACACGGATGTCAGATCTGACATAGATTTAATGCAGGAATCATAAAAATGCTTCGATGACCACAAACACATGTAAACAGAAAACAAGTCTCAGCAAAGAAAGAGAAGGTAACAAGAATGAATGAACTGGAAGTTTTAGAACTAAAAAATACTATTATAACTCAAATAAAAAACTCAGTTGATGGGCTCAATACCAAAAGAGGAGAGAGTCAAGAGTCAGTAAATTCTTTTAAAGAAAGTACAATAGAAATTACCCAATCTGGCCAAGCGCAGTGGTTCATACCTGTATTCCCAGTACTTTGAGAGGCCAAGGCGGGTAGATCACCTGAGGTTGGGAGTTCAAGATCAGCCTGACCAACATAGAGAAACCCCATCTCTACTAAAAATACAAAATTAGCCAGGCGTGATGACGAATCCCTGTAATCCCAGCTGCTCAGGAGGCTGACGTAGGAGAATCTCCTGAACCTGGGAGGCGGAGGTTGTGGTGAGCCGAGATTGTGCTATTGCACTTCAGCCTTAGCAACAAGAGCGAAACAAGAAAGAAAAGGGAAGGAAGGGAGGGAGGGAAGGAATTATCCAATCTGAACAAAAAAGAAAAAAGACAGTCCTAGGGACCAAACAAAAGATGTAACATTCATATAATCAGAATCCCAAAATACGGTAAGAGAGCAGGGCTGAAAACTTTCCAAACCTGGGACAAAACATAAATCTATTACAGATTCAAGAATGTCAGTGAACCCCAAACAAGATAAACCCAAAGAAATCCACATAAAGTCATATTACACTCAAACCTCAAACTAAATATACTCATGCTCAATTTGAAAACCAAAAGCAAAGAAAAAAATCCTGAAAGCTGTAACAACATCTTACCTACAGGGGACAAACAATTTCAATGACAGCAAATTTCTCATCAGAAATTATGGAGGCCCAGTAGAGTTAGGACATTTTGCTCCAAAGATGGAGCAAAACATCTGTCAAGTGATGAAAGAAAATAACTGTGAAGCCAGGATCATATATTCAGTGAATACATCCCTCAGGAATAAAGAAGAAATGAGCCATGCTCAGATAAAGAAAAACTAGGAGAATCTGTTAACAGCAGAACTGCTCTAAAGCAATGGCTAAAGGAAGTTTTCGAAACTGAAAATTAATGAGATTTGAAATTTATCAGTAAGGAAGAACAATAGAAAATGCAAAATGAGTTAATACAATGCTCTCCTTTTCCTCTTGGGTTTTCTAAATCATGTTTGATGGTTGAAGCAAAAAAAAAAACTGATATGGTTCTCAAATATAAATAAATATTTAAGACAATTATAAATGAAGAAGAACACAGTGATGTAAAGGGAAGGAAGCAAAAATTTCACTCAGATTGGTAAAAATGCCAACTGGGTGCATTGGCTTGTGCCTATAATCTCAGTGCTTTGGGAGGCTAACACAGGGGAATCACTTGAGGCCAGGAGTTTAAGACCAGCCTGAGCAACACAGTAAAATCCCCACCTCTACAAAGATTAAATTGGCTAAGCATAGTGTTGCATGTCTATAGTCCTAGCTACTTGGGAGGCTGAGGCAGGAAGACTGCTTGAGCCCAGAAGTTTGAGGCCTCAGAGAGCTATGACTGTCTGAAGGGACTGTCATGGGACTATGCCACTGCACTCCAGGCTGGGTGACTGAGGGAGACTTTATTTCTGGAGGAAAAAAAAAATTGTAAATGCTGATGATATACAGTAGACTAATGAGTTACTATAAATAAATTGGAATTCTAAAAACTGTTCATGTAACCCAGGAGGTTAGGGGGGAAAAACTCAGAGAGAAATGAAAAAGACAAAAAGAAAAGTGACAGACTTAATAACTGATATTAAGGCTTAAATCAGTTGGTCTAAATACACCAACTAAAAGAAACAGAGTAGATTAAAAAAATATATGAGCCAACTAATATCATCTATAAGAAACTTAATGATAATAAACATAGATTAAAAGTAAGAGTTTTAAAGAGACTATGTAATGATAAAAGAGTCAACTCCAAAGACATAGGAATACTAAATGTGAATGCACCAACATTCTCACGAACTGCAAAACATGACAGAACTGAAAGGAGAAACAGAAAAATCTACATTGTAGCTAAAGATTTTAACACCTATCTCTCAATGGTTGATAAAACAGTAGACAGAGAACAAACAAGGATAAAGAAGAATTCAACATCATCATCAACCAAGAGTATCTAATAAACACTTATATAACACATTCCATCCAACAGAATACACATTCTTTTCAAGCTCCCATCAAACATATCTAAGATAGAGCCATAAAATAAATTCTTAAAAATCAAAGCTGCCATCTTAAGAAACTGGTAAAAGTTGAGCAAAATAAACCAACAGCAGACAAAAGAGAAGATATCAATAACATTTACAAAACGACAACAAAAAGCTGGTTCTCTGAGAAGATCAATAAAATTCAGAAACCTCTAGCAAGACTGACCAAGACCCTGTCTCAAAAGAAAAAAAAAGAAAGAAACATGGGTTATCACTACAGACCCAGCAGATATTGAAAGGATAATAAGGGGATACTACAAATAACTCTGTACACATAGATTTTACCTTAGATGGGATCTACCAATTCCTCAAACAACACAAACTATTACAGCTCACCCAATATGACCCAATATAAAGGTAGTTAATTTGAATAGCCCTGTAACTATTAAGTTAATGAACTTCATTATAAAGTAACACTAGCCAGGCAGTGGCTCACACCTGTAATCCCAGCACTTTGGGAGGCCTAGGCAGGCAGATCACTTGAAGCCAGGAGTTTGAGACCAGGCTGGCCAACATGGTGAAACCTCATCTCTACTAAAAAATACAAGCTGGGCGTGGGACACGCCTGTAAGCCCAGCTACTTGGAAGGCCGAGGCATGAGAATCGCTTGAACCCAGGAGGCAGGGGTTGCAGTGAGCAGAGCTCATGCCACTGCACTCCAGTCTGGGAAACAGAGTAAGACTCTGTCTCCAAAAAAAAAAAAAAAAAAAAAAAAAGTAACACTAATTTTGCACAATCTCTTCTGGAAAATGGGAAACAGATCATTTGACAATTCATTTTATAAAGCCAGTATTGCTAATATCAAAACCATAAAAAATGGTACCAAAGAGAGTTCAGACCTGTATCATACCTCATGAATACAGACAGAACAATCCTTAACAAAATATTAGCAAACACAACTCAGCAATACACAAAAAAATTACACAGGATGATCAAGTAGAATGTATTCCAGGGTTCCAAGGCTGGATCAATATTCAGAAAACCAATCAATATAATCCACTACATTAAACAGGCAACAGAAGAAAAACCACATGATCATATAACTGATGAAGAAAAGGCATTTGACAAAACACGATTCATGAAAAAGCTCTCAAAAATTTAGAAACAAGAAGCAGTTCTCAACTTTCCCAACTTGATAGAGAACATCTACCAAAAAAAAAAAAAAAAAAAAAAAGACTGACAAGTCAAGCATATCTGTTCTTAACACTGCTATTCAATACAGGACTTAAAGTTCACCACTGAGATAAGCAAAAAAAAAGAAAGAAAGAAAAAGCATATAGATTACAAAGGAAGAAATAAAACTGTCCTCATTTGCAGATTACAAGATAGTCTACAAAGAAAAACCGCAAAACACACCTTGAATAAGTAGTCTAGTTAGGTCACGGGATGCAAGATCAATAAGGAAAAATCAATTCTCTTTCTATATATTTGTTATGAACACAAAAAAATGGAAATTAAAGATACAAAACAATTTACAATTGCTAAAAAATACTTAGGTATAAATCTAACAGCAAAAACAGGACTCATGCTAACGACTATAAAATGCTGATGATCAAAGTCAAAGAAGATGTAAATAAATGAAGAGACATACCAGTCGTGGATTAGAAGACTCAGCACAATGATATTAATTTCTCCTCAAAATTATATATACAGGTTTAATACAATTCCAGTCAAAACTTCCTTCTCAAAAAAATTCCCAGCAAGACTTTTATAAATGCAGAAAAGATTATTCTAAAATTTATACAGAAAGGCAAAAGAATTAAAATAGCTAAAAACAATTATGAAAAAAATAAAGGTAGGAGAAATCGATCAGATTTCAAGAATAATTATAGAGCTACAATGTAGTACTGGTGGAGGGACAGATATACAGATCAATGAAAGAACAGGAAAAACAGAAACAGCCCCACCTAAGTGCAGCCAAACAATTTCTGACAGAGGTGCAAAAGTAATTCAATGGTGAAAGAATAGTCTTTCAACAAATGCTGATGGAACTGAGTATCTACAGGGGAAAAATGAACTTCAAACTAAACCTCATACCTTCATAAGGAAATCAACTCAAAATGGATTATACATTTAATGTAACACATAGCAGTATAAAACTTTTACAAGAGAAATAGAAATGACCAAAATGTCCTACCATAGATAGTTAAATAAACTATGGTAATCTATATCATGGAATACTACTCAGCAATAAAAAAGGAGAACTACTGATACAGGCAATAATTTGGATGGATCTCAAGGGTCTGAGTGGAAAAAAACAATCTTAAAAGGTCCCAGACTGTACCATTCTTGAAATGACAAGGTCTATGGCTTGATAAGGAGTTCTTAGGCACAACATCAAAAGCATAATCCATAAAATAATTTTTAAAAATCAATATCCTGGACTTAATAAAAATTAAAAATTATTTGCTGAGAAAGACCCTGTTAGGATGAAAAGACAAGCTACAGACTGAAAGGAAGTATGTGCAAACTATGTATCTGATACAGGATTCGTATTTAGAATATATTCAAAACTCAACAGTTAAAAACAACAACAACAAAAAACCAATCCAATTAGAAAATGAGCAAAAGATATGAAGAGACATCACCAAAAAGGATATACAAATGGTAAATAAGCACATGAAAAAGATGTTCAACATCACTAGCCATCAGGGAAATGCAAATTAAGACCACGATGAGATATCACTACACACCTATCAGAACAGCTAAAATAAAAAATAATGACAATACCAAATGCTGGCGAAGATTCGGAGACACTGGATCTCTCATACATTGCTGGTGGGAATGTAAAATGGCACGGCCACTCTGGAAAATAGTTTGGCAGTTTCTTAAAAAACTAAACAAACTTAACCATGACCCAGCAATTGCCCTCCTAGGCATTCACCCAGAGAAATGAAAACTTAAGTCCACACAAAAACCTGTACACAACTGTTCACTAGCAGCTTTATTTGCAATAGCCCAAAACTGGAAATGACCAAAACGCTCTACTATAGGTAGTTAAATAAACTATAGTAATCCATACCATGGAATACTACTCAGCAATAAAAAGGGAGAACTACTGATATAGGCAACAACTTGGATAGATGTCAAGGGTTTGAGTGGAAAAAAAAAAAAAACAATCTTAAAAGGTCCCAAACTACTATTCTTGAAATGACAAAATTCACGTGATAAAATGACATTAACACTATACACACATATTGTACCAGTGTCAATTTTCTGGATTTGATATTGTATTACAGTTATGTAACATATAACCTTTGGATTCTGGGCAAAGATCATATGGGACCTCTCTGCACAATCTTTGAAACTTCCTATGAATCAAATTATTTGAAGGTCAAAAGTTTAAAGAAAAAAGAAAAAACAGTTTACACATAAAGCCAAGAAAAAAGTAAATCAGGCTCTGCCCAAGAAAATGTGAAGTAGCCTGAAATTCACATCAAGAAAAGAAACCGGACAGCAATTTTACCAAATTTGATAATCCTAAATGTTCTTGTTACATCACCAATGCTTCTCTAAATTATCAGCTAAAAAAAAAATACAGACACACGTACACACACACACACACACACACACAGACACAAAAACACACACATAGATGGCCCCTAACTTACAATGCTCTGATTTACAATTTTTCAACTTTACCTTAATGGTACAAAACAGTTGCAATTTTGAGGTACTTGGAATTTTGAATTCTGATCTTTTCCTGGGCTAGCAGTATGCAGTATGTGAGATATTCAACACTACTTAAATGAGACTTTGGGTCAGCTAATTTTGCCTAACTGTAGGCTAATTCTGAGCACATTTAAGGTAGGCTGGGCCAAGCTATGATATTCAGTAGGTTAGGTATATTAAATGCATTTTCAACTTATGATGGGTTTATCAGGATGTAATCCCATCATAAGTCAAGAAGCAACTGTTTAAATCCATCAACAGGAGTAGGGGTTGGCAAACTAGCCCATAAGCCAACTCCAGCCACCTGTTTTTGTAAATAAAATTTTACTAAAATAGTCACAGAGATACAAAAAAACAACAGACAACTCTGTGGGCTTTAGTTACTAGTTATCTTGTAACAATACTGAATATCAGAGAACACTATCACCTTACAAAACTACTCATCTTACTGGAGCACAAAGAATTATAATTCAATGACATATTTTATCCTTAAAACAAATTTCTAAATATACCAAATATGAGACTTAAAAAAAAGACAATTTCCCATCTGCAATTCAATTTACTGAACTACGTAAACTCCCTACCAAGTTCCAACACACACACACACACACACGCACACAGACACACACACACACACACACACACACACGATGGAAGTACAGCTTAACTGCAGTTACCATACCTTAGAAAGTATCAAATCGCCTAACCATCGCACACAATCAACATAATTCCTATGTATGTCTCTGGTAGAAAAATCAGGAAAATGGATTTTCTGAGAAATAAATGGCCTGAAGGAAGAATGGAAATGTAAAAAGTTAAAAGAAAAAATTATAGTAGAATCATACTCGTTTTCATTTTTGGATTTATAAAACTTGGAAAAACAGAATGTAAGACTATTAATTACTCTGTGTTCCTCCATAAATGATCACCTTATCTATTTATTGAAAGCCAAAGTCTCATTCCACTTTTATTTTTTTCCATTATCAATTACTTAAGTTTAATTTCATCCTATGATAGATACTTCATTTATAAACATTGTAGTTTCCTGCCTTTAACTATATTTAACCCAAAATTAATCACTTCGATTCTGGGTATCCTAACCAATAATAAAGACCTGATCAGTTTCTCACAGAAAATATACTAAGCTACCTACTCAGAACTTAAAATTAAGCATTAATAGTTTATGAAAGTCAACTTATCTACACTACTTCAAAAAAGAGTCATCTTTCCAGGAACAACTAAACATCATTCCAAAGTCTGCTGAAGATAAGTCTAGATGAGAGTCCTCCCTTGAGCAATAATTTCTGAAAATGATACCTTATGGGAATTTAAAATTTCTTAGATGGGGCTGGGTGCAGTGGCTCACGCCTGTAAGGCCAAGGTGGGTGGATCATCTGAGGTCAGGAGTTTGAGAACGCCTAGCCAACATGGTGAAACCCCATCTCTACTAAAAATAAAATTATCTCTGGCAGGCGCCTGTAATCCCAGCTACTCAGGAGGCTGAGCCAGGAAACTCACTTGAACCCGGGAGGCAGGTTACAGTGAGCCAAGATCACGCCACTGGACTCCAGCCCGGGCGACAAGAGTGAAACTCCATCTCAGAAAAAATAAACATATAAGCCAAGCACAGTGGCTCGCGCCTGGAATCCCAACACTTTGGGAGGACGTGGTGGGCAGATCACCTGAGGTTGGGAATTCGAGACCAGCCTGACCAGCATAGAGAAACCTCATCACTATTAAAAATACAAAATTAGCTAGGTGTGGTGGCATATGCCTACAATCCCAGCTACTCAGCAGGCTGAGGCAGGAAAATTGCTTGAACCTAAGAGGTAGAGGTTGTAGTGAGCCAAGATCACGCCATTGCAGTCCAGCCTGGGCAACAAGACAGAAAAAAATCCATCTCAAAAAATAAATAAATAAATAAAATTTCCTAGGACTTTTCCAAATAATTTCTGTATTTAGGAAACTAACTGGCACCACTGTTTTTATCAGAGATATTTGTGACAATAAACAAAACAAGCTGCTATTAATTCTGGAGTTATTTAATTAATAGTGTACTTAACATTCCTAATCCACTCAGTTTTAAATCTGAAATAACTGTATAATATGCCATGAGTTAGTTGTCTTAGGTAATTCTTATTATGTCCTCTCTACCTTTTCCCTCAGATATGTAAAAAGAACACTGGATTGCATCAACTCAAAAAAATCCTTCCAATTCAAATTCTGGAATATTTGTTAAAACACTAAAATGTTATTGGTGATCTGATATAAATTCTTAACTCTGCTATAATTAATTGCTTTTTATCCAAGTACATATTATAATTGTATGGCCAAAACTCTCTCAAAGAAAAAAAGAGCATAACTGTTATTTTTTTAAAGCTGTGAAATAGTTTGTATTTATTCCAGACATCTAGAAACTAACCTAAAAATATAAATTTAACATTGTACTACTAGCTCCTGGCATTTTAAAGGAGAAACTTAAAATCTGCAATAATTCTTAAAGGGCACTTAGGTCTGATGAATGTTAGAGCACTGAAATATTTACTGATGCTGACAAATTTAATAATCTATTAACAATCTGGCTTGATAACCAGAAAATGAACTCTTAACTTTTTGCTAAAACAGAAGTACCAACAAAGTTAACATGCAGACATACAATGTTTATAGTGAAAGTGTTAATGACAGCCTGATAAGATTCTAAAGACAGTTACTGCATTAAGAATTGAGACATTTCAAAAATACATTAAGAAAACTACCAAAACTCCCCAACCTACAGTACCATGAAGCGAGGCTCCTGCATTTGAATTCTCTCCATTTAATGAAGTGAGATCATTCAGAGAAAAGTATCATCATGAATTACAGCTAAGAACTCCATTTTTTAAAACTGTGGTTTACCATCTTGAATGCAAGTATCGTTTAAAAAAAAGTTAATCTAACATTATTCTAAAGTGTCCTTCACTCTCCCTAGTCCATAATAAGCTTAAGTGATTTAAAACTTTTACATGTATAACTTAAAAGGCCAAGCATATGCATATCAAAATAGAAATAAGTAAAATGTGCTACTAAGTTAAGATGACAATACAATTTAAAGGGGATTTTGAAAATTAAGCCACAAACACTGCAAATAAAGGACTTCTTAAAGGGTTTTCATGGAATTTTATGATATGTAAATTACACCCTAAAGTTAAAAGAAGGTCTTCTAAACTCAATGTTGGGGGCTTATATAGCAATTTTGGGGGAAAAATAAAATATATATTCAACAGCACAACATGGCAAATTGTTTTGAATACCACAGTAGTTACCTGTTAGTTTTATTTGGATTATAATCATAAGATTCCTTAATTGCATTCATCATTCTCTTTGAATTGATCCTCCAAAGTTTAAGAGAGTGATCCATACCACAAGACATTATTTTTTCACCCAAAAGATCATAATCCTGTATATAAAATGAAAAAGCTGTATATAAATTACAGTTCCAAATTATATTTCTCCAATTTACACCTGATGTGCAACATAGTGAAAACTTTGTTTCAGATCAAAATACAAACTACATTTTGGGTTTCATCTAAATAGGCCATAAATCAGAGTTTACTACTTTCAAGATTTACAGCTTCAATTAGTTTGTCACCAGTGGAATATATGAGCATTTACAATGTGTAAATCAAGAAAAAATTACTTAATTTTATCTAATCAAATACACTTAAATATTTTTCTTATTTTGAAGGTAAATTGAACATTAAGGTAAAATAATTATTCTATCACACAAAGAGCTGAATAGTGATATTACTTTTCTTGTCCAACCCTGACCAACCAATGAAACTGACATCTGCATGTGAAAATACATGAATCCTTAAAGAGCTGACACTGTACTTTATCTATACTTTTAAGTCAAAACATTTCAAAGTTAATTACTTTTAGAGTTTCCTTTTAAGTGAATTTTTTAAAGTCTAATAAAACAACAGATTTTAACTTTTCTCATTTGCTGTTTGCTAATTTTTAACAGGCATCTATCTATTATAACAACCTCATTTCATAGGCAGACAATGAGGCCCAGAGATGCTATTTAATTTAACAAAAGGCACATAATAAGTAAAGAAAAAAATCTCGGGCCGGGCGCGGTGGCTCACGCCTGTAATCCCAGCACTTAGGGAGGCCGAGACGGGTGGATCACAAGGTCAAGAGATTGAGACCATCCAGGTCAACATGGTGAAACCCCGTCTCTACTAAAAATACAAAAAATTAGCTGGGCATGGTGGCGCATGCCTGTAATCCCAGCTACTCGGGAGGCTGAGGCAGGAGAATTGCCTGAGCCCAGGAGGCGGAGGTTGCGGTGAGCCGAGATTGCGCCATTGCACTCCAGCCTGGGTAACAAGAGCGAAACTCCGTCTCAAAAAAAAAAAAAAAAAAAAAAAAAGAAAAAGAAAAAAAAAAATCTCACAGCTAACCAACTATTAGTGAACCCTGTATTACACAGACGAGCTATATACTGTTTGCTGTTCTCATTCTAAGAAATGACAGTAGAGAGTTCTATTGAAGGAATATATTTTCCTTACTAACCTAGATATTATATGTTAATCCAACCTTTGAATTATGAGCACCACTTTAGAAGAGCCTAAGAACTTTAGACTTGATGTTTATTGAATTCACAGACGTGCTACTTCTATTTACCTCAATGTCAACAGCAAGAAGACATCCTTAGAGACAATACTGCTAATTTGGAGTTCTTAATAACAGTTCACTTAGTTTTTATACACATAAAGCCAGATGCAGAATGCTACTGCAAGTTTTAGAAAATCTAAGTTAACAGGGAATTCCAAGGAACGTATGGGTCTCACAAAGGAATCCAAACTCCAACACAGCAATATTTTAGTACCTTCAATTAAAATGCTATATGCTGTAAAATATGGTGCCCCTTTACTTAATTTAATGGAAAAAAAACTAAGAGGTGTGAAATTACTTAAGGAATTAAATGAGCTAAACATGAAACATATGCTAAAATAATGTTAAAATCTGAAGCCTTCATAAAAACACTTGTATAAAAGACCAATGGATTATAATACATCAATATAAAGGTGGTATTTGTTTATCTTTAAACAAAATTAACTATTGGTCTTGCATTATACCATGCCACCCAAAGAGTGGAAACAAGTTACCTAAAACAGTGACAGCATAATAAAACAGTGCAAAAAAGCAGAAAACTTATGTTTCAACTTCAAAGTAAAGATGGAAAAGCTCTTTTTAATGGCTACATAGTTTAATTTTTTTTCTTTAATAACTCAAACACAGCAAAACAAACATTAACTTGGTGATTTTAGATGAAGAGGAAAGGAGCAAGATCATACTACTCTCATGAGAATCCAGGGACTGGTATAAAGGGCAAGGAATTTTAAAAATAGATATAATATGGTCTTGTTTTATTCCTTCATCTGGAGAATTAAAATCTTACATGTCAAATATAAGTGAATGTCTGCCTAACAGGCTCTATGAAACAAGCATGCTTTCTTATCATAAGGAAAAGAGTGCCATGCAGACTGTTCACAGCTATATAAACCTGAAAGTCACTGCCCTGCAGTTTTCAACTTACAGCACTTAGAACTTCATCTCTGTGCCCTTCTACGCCTCCAAATATTGCCACCAGAGTGTCCGTTTGGATATTCCATAATCGTAAAGCATGATCTAGTAATAAACATACAAAAATTAGATGAATGTTTTTTATTTACTATGAACTTTCAACATCTTGTGAAAGAAAAACTACTAAAATCTAGATGTAAGCTATGCACAGTAAAGCCTAAAAATGGAATCCATACTACATAGCAACTTAAAATATTTACATTACATATAGAATTAGTTAGGTAAGTGCTATACTTTGAATAGGTCCCCCCAAGAGCATATGCTACAAAGTCAATTCCCAATGCAATAGTGGTGTGAGCTAGGGCCAAATGGGAAGTATTTAGATCATGAGGGCTCTATACTCACAAATGGATTAATAATTATTATAAAGGGGCCCGAGACTATAAATTCAATCTCTTGCTTCCTCACACCCTCTCCTGCCCTTTTGCAATGAGACGATTCAGTATGAAGGCTCTCACCAAATGCCGGCACCATGTTCTTGGACTTTCCAGTGTCCACATCATGAGCCAAATAGATTTTTGTTCATTATAAATCACCCGGCCAGGCACAGTGGCTAACGCTTGTAAACCCAGCACTTCAGAAGGCCAAGATGGGAGAAGTGCTTGAGCCCAGGAGTTTGAGACTAGTCCTAGCAATACAGCAAGACCCTATCTCAACAAAAAAATTTAAAAATTAGTAAAGCCTGAGAAACAAGAAAGAAAAGAATGAATGAATCCATTAGTCACCTAGTGTATAGTATTCTGTTATCGCAGCATAAAATAGACCGAGACAGAATGGTGGTACTGAGAAATGGGACTATGCTATGAATACCTGAAAATGTGAAAAAGACTTTGGAACTGGGTAATGAGGAGAGGCTGGAAGAATCTGGAGAAGCAGGCTAGAATAACCCTGAATTGTTGTGAATGGAGCACTGATGCTAGTTCCAGTGAGGGCTAAAAAGACAAAAGCTACAGGGAGAGGCTTTATCTTCTTAGGGATTACTTAAGTGGTTGTAATCAGAATGTTGGTATAATAATGAACAGTAAAGACCATTCAGTGAGGTCTCAGACAGAAATAAGAAGGTACTGGAAAATGCAATAAAAGCTATCCTTGTTGGCAGGGTGTGATGGCTCATCCCTATAATCCCAGCACTTTGAGGCTGAGGCTGAAGGATCTACTTGAGGCCAGGAATTTGAGACCAGCCTGGGCAACAAAGTGAGACTCCATCCCTACAAAAAATAAATTAGCCAAATGTGGTGGCATGTACCTATAGTCCTAGCTAAGGGGAGCTAAGGCAAGAGGATCACTGGAGCCTAGGAGTTTTGGCATACAGTGAATTATGATCACACCACAGTGCACACCAGCCTGGGTGACACAGACCAACCCTGTCTTTAGTTAGCCAGGTGTGGTGGTGTGCACCGGTAGTCCTAGCTACTCAGGAGGCTGATGTGGAAGGACAGCCTAAGCCCAGGAGGCAACGGTTGTGCCACTGTACTCCAGGCTGGGTGACAAGAGTCAGACCTTGCCTCAAAAAAATTAAGCAATAAATAAAAGCCATCCGGGTGCTGCGCTCCTCTAATTGGGACTCCAAGCCGGGGCTATTTCTGGCGCTGGTGCGGCTCCAAGAAGGCCATCCCAGACATCACTCTTCCACCTGCTCCTTAGAGAAGGGAAGATGAGCAAATCGAGCTCAAAGTCCAGCCAGCCCTTGGCCTCCAAGCAGGAAAAGGACGGCACTGAGAAGTGGGGCCAGGGCAGGCCACGCAAGCAGCCTCTGAAGGAGCCCAGTGAAGTGCCAACACCTAAGAGACCTCGGGGCCGACCAAAGGGAAGCAAAAACAAGGGCGCTGCCAAGACCCAGAAAACCACAACTCCAGGAAGGAAACCAAGGGGCAGACCCAAAAAACTGGAGGAGGAAGAGGAGGGCATCTCACAGGAGTCCTCGGAAGAGGAGCAGTGACTGTGCCTGCCGCCTGCTCCTCACTGGAGGAGCAGCTTTCTTCTGGGACTGGATAGCTTTGCTCCGCTCCCACCGCCCCCGCCCCTTCACCAGGCCCACCATCACCACCACCTCCGGCCGCCACCCCCATCTTCCACCTGTGCCCTCACCACCACACTACACAGCACACCAGCCGCTGCAGGGCCCCCATGGGCTGAGTGGGGAGCAGTTTTCCCCTGGCCTCAGTTCCCAGCTCCCCCGCCCACCCATGCATACTCACATGCCCACCTGGACAAGGCTAACATCTCACTTAGCCGCACCCTGCACCTGCTGTATCCCCACTCTCTTGGTGATGGGGACATTGCTCTCTGGGCTTTTGGTTTGGGGGTGCCCTCTCTGCTCCTCTACTGTTTCCTCTGGCTTCCCATAGTGGGGCCTGGGAGGGTTCCCTTGGCCTTAAAAGGGGCCCAAGCCCATCTCATCCTGGCACGCCCTACTCTACTGCCCTGGCAGCAGCAGGTGTGGCCAATGGAGGGGGGTGCTGGCCCCCAAAGTTTCCCCAGCCAAACTGTCTTTGTCACCACATAGAGCTCTCACCTTTCATCCTTCCCCACCTTCCCTAGTCCCTACACTAGGTCGGATAGCCCCCTTTGGCTAGAAGAAGGCAGGAGGGGTATGAGTCCCCTACACCCTTTTCACTGTGGTCCCAGTCCCCTGGCCCTCTGCCTGGGATCTGAGTATATACTGTGGTGACGGAGATGCAGTCATTTATTGTCCAGGTGAGGCCCATGAGCACTGTGGCTACCACCTGAGATGGGCTGGAGCTGCTCCCCCTACCCCACTTTGCTTCTGCCACTAGGCCATTTCTCCCTCCTCAGATGGGGCACCAATAACAAGGAGCTCACCCTGCCCATTCCCAACCCTCCTGCTCCTCCCTGTCCCCCAAGGTTCTGGTTCCATTTTTCCTCTGTTCACAAACTACCTCTGGACAGTTGTTTTTTGTTCAATGTTCCATTCTTTGACATCCACCATTGCTGCTGCTATCAGCACCAAATGTTCATCCTCAATGCCTCCTGTTCTGCCCACAATACCCTACCCCAAGATACTCTTCATGGGGAAGAGGGGCTGGGGCATGGCAGGCTGGGTGACCGACTACCCCAGTCCCAGGGAAGGTGGGGGCCTGCCCCTTGGATGCTGCAGGAAGAGTGAGCAAGGGGGTCCGAATCAACCACAAAGGGTGTAGGGGCCACCTCCTCCCCCTGCTCTGTCCGGGAGGGGTAGCCATGATTTGTCCCAGCCTGAGGCTCCCTCTCTGGTTTCCTATTTGCAGTTACTTGAATAAAAAATATCCTTTTCTGGAAAAATAAAATAAAATAAAAGCCATCCTTGCCATACAGTTGTGAAGAACTTGGCAGGACTGTGTCCATGTCCTACAACTTTGAGAAAGGCAGAATTTAACAGCAATGAATCCAATAGCTGGCAGAAGAAATATCTGAGCATCAAGGCATTCACAGTGATGCATGGCTTCTTCTGGCTGTTTACCGTAAAATGAGAGAGAAATGATCTAAAGGTGAAATTTATAATTAAAAAGGAAAGCACAACAGAAAAATTTGTAAACTCTCAGACTGGCCATGTAAAGAATAAAAAAGCAGGCTGGGTGTGGTGGCTCACACCTGTCATCCCAATGCTCTGGAAGGCTGAGGTGGAAGGATCATCTGAGCCCAGAAGTTCAAGACCAGCCTGGGCAACATAGCAAGTCCCTGTCTCTTCAAAAAATACATAAAATAGAAAAACATGTTTGGGAGAGAATATTAAGAATGTGACTAGGTGACTAATTGTTACGGAGATTAATAGGGAATAGAAGCCAGGGTCTATTCACCAAGACAATGGGATAATGACCCCAAAGGCATTTCAGAGATCTTCAAGACATAGCTAGGAGCTTGAGGGCAAGGTTTCCAGAGTAGCACCTGTGGGACCCCTACATTCACTGTCCAGGGCCACCTCAGCACTTTTTCTCCCCCTATTCCAAGGCAGTCCTCTGTGGTCACCCCAGGTTAGCTTGAGGGGTCTCAGGTGTGGCTTAGGCCATAGCTTCCGAAGGTACAAACAGCAAATCTTAAGTCTGCAGATGCAGAGAATATAGGAACTGCAGAGGCAGGGCTTCCTCTATCTAGATTTCAAAAGACATCACAAAGAGCCTGGAGCTCCAGGCAGAAACTTTTTACAAGGGCAAGCCACCAAACAGTTCCCACTATAGCAATACCTGGTGGAGCCATAGGGAAAAAGCCATCCCCCAAATCCCAGAAACTGCTGAGCTACCAGGGCACACTGCCAACCTTCGAGAGCTGCAGGCACCCAACTTCAACTCATAAGATGCTATGTGGGCTGCACTTGGCAAACCCATAAAGATGGGGCTGCCCAAGGCCTTTGGGGCCCAAACCTCACACCCAGCATGCCCAGAAGGCAAAACATGGAGTCAAGGAAGATTATTCTGGTCCCTTGATTTAATCTGGTTTGTTCTGTTGGGCTTTGGACTTACTTGGGACCAGTTATCCTTATTCTTGCCTATCTCTCCTTTCTGGAAGGTAATGTCTATCTACGCTTATCCCACTGCTATATTTTGGAATTAGATAAGTTGCCTGATTTCTCAGACTCACAGATGGAGAATTTACCTCAGGAGGAATCCTGCCTGAGTTTCACCCATATCCCTGACTTGATGCCACTAGGAGTTACGACTTTTGGGGTTATTGGATGTAATGAATGTATTTTATATGTGAGAATCTGAATTTGGGGGGCCAGGGGCAGAATGCTCTAGCTTAAATGAGCCCCCAAAAAGCATGCTGGGAAACATAATCCCCAATGCAGCAGTGTTGGGAGATGGGACTTAATGAGAGGCATTTAGGTCAAGAGAATGCCAATTATGAATGGATTAATTCTAGTTATAAAAAGGCTTCAAGTTCAATTTCTTGTTCTTACTCTCTAATGCCTGATTAAAATGGACCAAGACACAGCTGGGCGTGGTGGTGTATGCCTGCAGTCCCAGCTACTCAGGAGGCTGAGGCAGGAGAATTGCTTGAACTAGGCAGCTGAAGGTTGCAGTGAGCTAGTATAGTGTCACTGCACTCCATCCTGGGCGATAGAGTGAGACCAAGACAGTAAGTCAAGAAATATTTATGTGGTCTGAAAAATATTTTGAGTATATTTATCTCAAATAACTTTCTTTAAATAACCTAATTTGATGGAAATACACTTTTAAGATAAGAAAATACAGATCTGAAATAAGCAATTTTATGCCACAGAACAAGATATTAGCTTTTCCCTTCACCACACTCACATTAACAAATTAAAGGGGACTGCGATTTATATGATTTTTACAGTAAGCCCAAAATGTAACTACATATATCATGCACAATTTTATAGAATGATAGTCCTTCTTCAAAAATTATACAGCTATAATGTGAGCAACATTATATTAAACATTAATAAAGAATGTACAGCAGACCAGGTGCAGTAGCTCACACCTGTAATCCCTGCATTCTGTGAGGCCAAGAATTTGAGACCAGGTTAGGCAACGTAACGAAACCATTATCTCTACAAAAATTTTTTAAGTATTAGTCAGGCTGCTGGGCGCAGTGGCTCACGCCTGTAATCCCAGCATTTTGGGAGGCCGAGACGGCCAGATCACAAGGTCAGGAGTTCAAGACCAGCCTGACCAACATGGTAAAACCCATCTCTTGAAAAAAAAAAAAAAAAATTAGCCAGGCATGGTGATGTGCACACGTAGTCCCAGCTACTCACAAGGCTGAGGTGGGAATATTGCTCGAGGCCAGGAAGTCAAGGCTGCAATGAGCTGTGATTACACCACTCTACTATAGCCTGGTTGACAGAGTGAGATCCTGTCTCTAAAACGGTATTTAAAAAAAAAAAAAGTATGTAAAGACATGTCTTCGGACCCTGCTCGCTGCGCCAAAAAAAAAAAAAAAAAAAAAAAGACATGTCATGTAAGCTTGAAATATAACAATGTTCATTCTGTCTATAAATATTAATACATCACATAACACCAAGAGGTAGTAATACATGTAAAAATTAGTGCTGTAAAAATGATTCCTGATTGATTTCAATTTTATACAAGTTTTTGTATGGACATGTTGTATCTCCTGGAATACATATGTACACCCCCACCCACACACCCCTAGGGGATATATATATATATATATATATATATATATACATATACATATATATATGCAAACACACTTAGGATTGGTGACTCCAACATTCCGAGGAACTGCCAGATTGTTTTTCAAAGTAGTTACATTTTACATTCCCACCAGCAGTGTCTAAGAGGACTCTGCTGATTCCTTCCTGTGCCAATCAATACTTGTTATTATCTAAGGTTTTTATTATAGCCACCCTAAGTAGATGTGAAGTGGTATCTCATTTTGGTTTTGATTTGTATTTCCTTAATGATTAATATGTTAAACATCTTTTCATGTGCTCAGTGGCCATCTGTGTATATACTCTGAAGAAATGCCATTCAGAACTTTTGGCCATTTTTAAATCGTTGAGCAGTAAAAATTCTTGATACAAGTCCCTTATTAGCTGGGAATCATGGCTCATGCCTATAATCCGAGCATTTTAGGAGGCCAAGTCAGGAGGACTGCTTAAGGCCAGGAGTTGACCGGTCTGGATAACACAGCAAGACTTCACCTCTACAAAAACATCTTTTAAAAAGTTAGCCAGGCGTGGCCAGGCACGGTGGCTCATGCCTATAATCCCAGCACTTTGGGAGCCTGAGGCAGCTGGATCACCTGAGATCAGGAGTTTGAGACCAGCTCTGGCCAACATGGCAAAATCCCATCTCTGTTAAAACCAGAAAAAATTAGCCAGGCATGGTGGTGGGCACCATGCTCAGGAGGCTAAGGCAGGAGAATCACTTGAACCCAGGAGGCAAAAGCTGCAGTTAGCGGAGATCAAGCCATTGCACTCCAGCCTAGGTGACAAAGCGAGACTCTGTCTCAAAAAAAAAGAAAGAAAGAAAGAAAAAACATTGTGATATTTAGAACAAGTGAGGCACTATGGCCTATACACTTGTACAGAAATATCTGAGACCAAATTAGTGTTATTAAGAGACAAGAAACAGTAATCAGCTCTTCCTAGAGATAGTGATTTCCAAAGTTAAGCTTTGGTAGTTATAAAAAAATGACACTGAAACTTTTACATAAGACAAACTTGCACATAAGAGTTTTAATTTATGGACATCATTTAATCTGAGTAGACTGCAGGGGAGATTACAGGTTTGACAAGCCTAAGAAAATAACAATCTTGTAAGTAGAAATGGAAAGAGAAAGGCAATCAAAAACAATGTGAAAAATCAGATCTTCCTAATTCATTTCAGACAGCTCAGAAATTAGATAATATCTAAACCCACAATAAATTTATAATGTCTATGAAGGCATAAGGAACAATGCAGTGCTTTCCCTTCATGGGAAATACTTCAAGTAACTTATCCTGGAGAACTTAGCATTTTTAAGAAATTCTATAGGGAATCCCTTATAAAACAATAGCTTTTTTTAAAAATAAAAAAGCAATATGAATTTTTCTATGTAGTATTTATTATTACATAATTGGACAGAATGATCTGGATATGCTAACATAGCCTGGGATTTTCACACTAAAATTTATTGTTATAAAATTATTTTTTAATTTGGCTTTTTATCCCCTTAGAATACTATCTGTCCACACACTGGGGCCTAATTGCAGGGTGGAGGGTGGGAGGAGAAAGAGAATCAGGAAAAATAACTAATAGATACTAGACTGGAAATAAAACAGGACTTGTTAACCTAAGTAACAGAAAGGCTCTCTAAAAGAAAAGATGTTTATATGGAAATAAAGCACTTCAATGAGAATGCACATGCCAAAGTAAATTGCATGTGTTTTCAGAAAGGTAAGGTTTTTAAAAGAAAAAAATGAGAAGGATTACATAATTGTTTTGAAGTAAGATTCGCCTCAAAATCAGTAGCAAGGGTAATGCCAATCTGAGGATGAATAGTCACTTACTGGCAGTATTTTCTATGTAAGGTTGTGATGGCCTTTGTGCAAGGTTGCGGTTCTTGTGTTTTTTTGTGAGTTTATATTATCAGACATACATGCATGTGAACTCTCTTTTCATGGCTTTTCCTGTTTGTCAGGGTTTTCTTGACATTAGTGACTCCATCCTAATTCTGACAACTTGCACAGACTAAAGAAACATTTGCTTCTCTTACCTTTACTTACTGACAGGAGAAGATTTGGATCTCTTGGGTGGAATTTCAGCTCATTGATAGCATTTCCATGGCCAACATAGTGCTACAATAAATTTAAAACATTTCAAGTTTCATATCTCGAAATCAGTAAATGCTTTTTCATAAATCTTTAGAGAATGTAAAAATAGTTTCACTTAAAGTGGTGGTTCTGAACCTTGGCTGCATATTAAAATCAGCCAAAAAACTTGGTGAAAAGAGAAAAAAAAAAAAGCCCAGGCACAGTGTGTGGCTCGTGTCTTTAATCCAAGCACTTTGGAAAGCTAAGGCACAATCACTTGAGGCCAGGAGTTCAAGACCAGCCAGGGCAATATAGCAAGACCCTATCTTCACATATGCACACAAAAATTTAAAATTGGCCCCAGCTACTTGAGAGGCTGAGGCAGGAGGATTACTTGAGCCCAGGAGACATGGGCTGCAGTGAGCTGTAATCATGCCACTATACTCCAACCTGGGCAAAAGAGTGAGAGAGACTGTCTCAAAAAAAAAAAAAAAAGCAGAAAAAAAAGATGCTCAAAACCCCACCTACAGATATTCTAATCGGATTAGCAGAGGCCCTCGGATCCTCACATGATTATGATGTGTCCCCAGGGTTAAAAATAGCTGATTAAAGTTGATTTGAAAAATTTATCTTCTTATCAACTTGCTAGACTTCACCTTTAAGTTTGTGACAAGGTCCCTTTGACAAGACCCCTGGAGTTTGGATGTCTTGGAAAACTGATTCACTCTTATTGTTCATTTAGAGCCTCTCAAAGCAAAGCATGAAAAGGGTGAAGGAGGGAAATTCTAAAAAGAAAACACTATAAATATTAACATTTTCCCACTTATTCCTTAATTTACATTACTCGAATGTGACAAAGGTCTCAAAAGATTCATCTAAAGTAAGTACAAATCAAATCAGAAATGTTACATTCATATCATTGGTTTTAAATTTAACATTAAAAGTTTTTTTAAAGGTTTTACTTTTTGAAGTTTTACTTCAAAAGAAGTAGAACTACAACTTAACCAGAAAAACCCACCTTTATACACTGCATTGTTATAGGATTAATTATCCTAATTATGCCTCTAGATCCAGCTACAGCCAGTAGAGGATGGCTTGTATTGCTATCATAGGTCCATGCACAAGTGTAGAAGTTTTCATCAGCCTATGAAATTCCACAGTTAAGAAATATAATTTGTTTATGAAAAAGAAAAATGTCAATAGTTATAATAGAAACTTACACAGAACTGCTAATGTTTTTGACATAAAAGTTCTCGATTTTCCTTCTACAACCAAATTTATACAATGGGGATTTGAGGTCTAAAATCCATAACAAATTATCAAACAAAATTACAGTTTCTCCATTCAATTGTTTACTCTTTAACTGTTCGTACAACTACTAAACTCTGTAGTTGCATTACCGAAATAATTGCAGACAATACACAAATGAATGGGCATGGTTGTGTTCCAACAAAACTTTACTAAAAACAGGTGTCCAGCCTGCAAGCTGCAGTTTGTTAACCTCTGCTCTATTCCAATACTATACATATCTAAATAAAAACAATTCAGTTTTCCACCTTTTTCTTTGTGAGATACTCCCAATACAACACAGGTCAAATTTCAGTATCTTTCAGAGAAGACTGAAGGTCCCTGCCTTGTCTTGTTCGCTAAGTTTTTCAAAGGGATCTGGAAAATACATCTTATTACTTAGCTTTTACTGCTCTAACTCAGACTTTTCAAATTTTTCCGTTTCTTTATGACCCTGTTTTGCAATATTTTATTTCTGAAACTACACTTTTTTTTCTTTCTAGGCTTTGTTGATCAAATACTTGGAATGACTGCCAGTCACAACCCAAGTTCATCATTATAACCACAATTAAATGATATATTCTAGGTGAGGTTGAAGAAAAAGGAGGTTTTAACCAGTCTGCTAACATTTTCTATTACTAGATTTCTATCTACCTCTCTAGACATCTGCATCCAACCAGCACATCCATCCCACAATGTATTTTTTTTCTTTTTTTTTGCCTAGCTGAGTTGACACATACCACAATGGATTTCTAAGGGTCAGGAAAACTAGATACTAGGATTCTCTTGGGTGATAGTGAAGAAATAGGTTAAGAAAGAACAAAAACTTTAGCAAACTGATTAATTTATAAAAGTTTTGGTGTACTTATTGAAAATAAATTCCTTTAACCAAAGATATTAAAAACCCAGGAAAGGATACATCAGCATCCACGTAAGATTGCAACAACCGGATTTCTCCTTGTGAATGACATTCATACAAGGTAACCTAATGAAAATAAAAATATAGTAAATTTCATCTCAAGTACAGAAACATACTCTCTCCAACTTTTAAACATGTTTTAATCACAATCACATCGTAAATATAATCTAGAAACTATTGGCTTAAATTAGCTCCTGTAAGCTTAAGGAAACCATCATAAAGCTGAATGTTTTATATAATACAGAGTATATTAAATATTGTAGTAATAATGGTTTTGATTTCCAATCTTTTAAACATATTCATCCATTTAATTGCACCAACTCTTCAAAGTGAATAAAGTTAAAAACCTCAAAGTAATTGTGACTTATCATCTTTCAATTGTAGTTAAAAAGGCCTTGGAGGCCAGGCACAGTGGGTCACTTAATGCCAGCACTTTGGGAGGCTGAGACAGGTGAACTGCTTGAGCCCAGGAGTTTGAGACCAGCCTAGACAACATGGCAAAACCCCATCCCTATTAAAAAATAAAAGTTTGGGAGGCCGAGGCAGGCGGATCACGAGGTCAGGAGATCAAGACCATCCTGGCCAACATGGCGAAATCGCATCTCTACTAAAATACAAAAAATTAGCTGGGTGCAGTGGTGTGAGCCTGTAATGCCAGCTACTCAGGAGACTGAAGCAGAAGAATCGCTTGAACACGGGAGGTGGAGATTGCAGTGAGCTGAGATTGCGCCACCACACTCCAGCCTAGTGACACATGGAGACTTTATCTCAATAAAATAAAATAAAAATTAAGGCTGGGCGCAATGGCTCTTGCCTGTAATCCCAGCACTTTAGGAGGTCAGAAAAGGCGGATCATGAGACCAGGAGATCGAGACCATCCTGGCTAACACAGTGAAATCCTGTCTCTACTAAAAACACAAAACGTTAGCCAGGGGACAGACGCAGTGGCTCACGCCTGTAATCCCAGAATTTGGGAGGCCGAGGCAGGCGGTTCAAGAGGTCAAGAGACCGAGACCATCCTGGCCAACATGGTGAAACCCCATCTCTACTAAAACTATAAAATTAGCCAGGTGTGGTGGCACGCACCTGTGGTCCCAGCTACTCGGGAAGCTGAGGCAGAAGAATCACTCAAACCCAGGAGGCGGAGGTTGCAGTGAGCCGAGATAGCGCCACTGCACTCCAGCCTGGCGACAGAGCAAGACTCCATCTCAAAAAAAAAAAAAATTAGCCAGGCATGGTAGCACACGCCTGTAGTCCTGGGTACTCGGGAGGCTAGGACAGGGAAATCGCTTGAACCTAGGAGGCAGAGATTGCAACACTGCACTCTAGCCTGGGCGACAGAGCAAGAGTCTGTCTCAAAACATAAAAAAATAAAATTAAAGCAAGTCTTTGGATAGTTTTAGAGCATCTACATATTAGTTACATTAATATTAAAAAGTCTACAATTTGCCTAATGAATTACTTTCTCATGGGTACAGATAATCACGTATTAACTTTCTCATGTATGATAGCCCTTTTCATTTGTTGTATACTCTAAAATTAAAACTATACATAAACCATATAAAATTTTGTAATACTAAACTTTTATAAATTTTTTTCTTTTCTTTTTTTTTTTTGAGACGGAGTTTCACTCTTGTTGCCCAGGCTGGAATCCAATGGCACTATCTCGGCTCACTGCAACCTCTGTCTCCATGGTTCAAGTGATTCTCCTGCCTCAGCCTCCAGAGTAGCAGAGATTACAGGCATCCACTACCACGCCAGGCTAATTTTTATATTTTTAGTAGAGATGGGGTATCCATGTTGGTCAGACTGGTCTGAAACACCTGACCTCAGGTGATTCACCCACCTCAACCTTCCAAAGTGCTGGGATACAGGCATGAGCCACTGTGTCCAACCCCGTTTTTCTTATATCTTATAGTCAGTCACCTTAGCAAAAACCTATTCATATTTTATAACAGTATTTAAGATCTCTGAAGATCCTGTATATCATCACAATTTATTAATTCATAATCTCCTCTATGTTAATGTTCCAAAAAAAATTATTTATATGGCTGCTAAGTTGGTTGTATCTTATGTGATAACTGTTTTCTTTTTCTTTCTTCCTTTTAAAGAAATCCTAACAGCAGACTTTTTAATAATTCAATAAACTATATGACACCCCTTTATGTCACTTTAAATGAAAATAGGAATTCTTTTTATTAGAAAACTTGAAACACTGCAGTAACCATACTGGAGCACAAACTATACCAATTATAATACTATCAGAGCTAAATATTGTCTTAGGTTTACAGTGGTGCCCTAAAAGTGGATTCAAATTTAATTAATGGGCTACATTTCCAACTAAGAAAAAAATAACCTCAACCTTTTCTTAAAGCCACATCATTTTTCCTCTGAATTGCTGTTTCCAAAGAATTTAGAAACTAAACAACTATAAGCAGACTCCATTATCTTAAAACCTACATTTGTCTAAACACCAAAAAAAAAGGGAGGAAAAAAAGCTATTATTTCACGTTATCAACTTCAGTGGTAACTTACACATACTGAGAGTTTCAATGACTTGACTCTGCCAAATAGTAAAAGCCCTACAGCCTTACATGTCATTATAAAATTTCCTTAAAAGGCTGGACATAGTGGCTCACGACTGCAACCCCAGCTCTTTGGGAGGCCAAGGCAGGTGGATTCCTTGAGCCCAGGAGTTCAGTATCAGCATGGGCAACATGGTGAAACCCCATCTCTACAGAAAATAAGCCAGGCATGGTAGTGCATGCTTATAATACCAGCTACTCAGAAGGCTGATGTGCAAGGATCACCTGAGCCACAGAATTTGAGGCTGCAATAAGCCTTGATCAGCCACTGCACTCCGTCCTGGAGGACAGAGTAAGATTCGACCTCTCTCAAAAACAACAAAAACCACCACCAAATACCACCTGTCTCAAAACAAAAACAAAAACAAAAAAGTCTCAAATGTTTACTGCTAATAATTAAAACATCTCAATAACTTATTTAAATCCACTGGACTTAAGCTTTCATTTATACAGCCATTAATTACCTTTATTTTTAAAAATCACAGCCATTTCTTATGCTATTTAATAACAACAAAATAACTTTAAAAGAAAGCCAATTCTTCCAACCAAATATTTATGAAGACAAACACAAGTATAAAATCTGTTTCATCAACAATTAGGGATAATATATTTAATAAAGATGTATTTTCAGCCATGCATACTGGTTTTAATTAGATAGTTTCTAGAACGCTTCACTCTTACATGAAAGTTGTTAAACCAGCTTCACAAAATTTACTTTAAAATTATTCTATTTCAGTATTATATTAATACCAGATCTAGAAATCAAGCCAAATACTAAATAGACCCCTTAACACTCACTCTGTTGCTTCCTACAGTGGCAAACACTAATGGATCTCCTTCTTTACTGTGCCAGTTAAACTGAACTCCAAACAATGGTTGGTTATGATCTTCCTATAAAATAATCATGAAATAAGAAAAAATTAATGTATCTTACAAACGAGAAAATGACAGTAAACAAACCTTTCCCCTTCTCACTTTTGTCCAAAATGCAATCCATTATTTTGTGCATCATACATAAGCTGACTTTTGACACTAAAATTAAAAGATGTCTACTAGTCTAGTTTTCACATTTTAAAATACTGTTTATGATAAAGCTTTATCACAACCAAAAGCTTAAATCACAAGTTAGGTAACAAGCACTTACCTATGAAAACACTTACAATATTTGCCTTTTATTTTCTTAAGCCAATCATATTCTAAATCACAGTAAACTGGATAAATTTGGTGGACAAAAAGGACACAACTTATTTTTCTAAAATAGGAAATTAACAAATGGCCTTAATAGCTTCTTTGGCATTCAGTACATTTTATAATTCTAAATTTTAAATTTGAATGAAGCAGACTTCATTCAAATCACTATTTTCTGTTAGTCAGAACAAGAATATTTGAACACCGGGGATTAGGGGAAGAAATGGACTAGAACTTCAGTTACCAGGAGGCTATAAGGAAATGTACAAAGAACTATTGTTAACTTTTGTTCACAAAGTTATTTTTCAGCTTTAGGATTTTACAGGCCATCTTCTGGCATTAACACTAACTTTCATGTTCAGTGTAAGGCACTGTTTTTTCACTTTTAAAGTACAACAACTTTCATTTTCTCATCATTTTAAAAGCCACAGTCTTAGGCTTTTGAAATACTTCCTTAAGTATAAAAGGCAGCTAAAAACATCTTTTAGGTACAGTACCTCAAAGAAGTAGGTTAATGTAAATAAATATGAACATAAAACTATAATTCACTTTAAAAAAATATGTTTGGATTAATTTCTCTCCTTTTATAGGAGTAAAATTTGACACCTTTAACATTGAATTTTGGCTACACTGACAAAAAAAATGTCCCAGTCATAGCTTCTTATGCTTTCCCAAGACTTTACTTAAAAAATATATTTGGATATTTAGAAAAGGTTTTAACTTACATATGTATAATACGTGTTTTTCCTCAGTATAAAAAAAATAACCACGTATTTAAAAAACGAAGTGGACATATATAAAAGAAAATGTCTTAAACATCAGTAACCCTTTTTATAAAGTAAATAAAAATACTATTGGGGAAACATTAAATAACCCAAACCCCCTTTCCCCAAATATTTAATATTAAAAAGTTTTAAAATTTTTATACCTTTTTCTTTGAAAATAGTTATAAATACAAAAAAGCATAGAAGTTTAAAAAACCATACAAAGTGAAACATCTGTTTCAATTTATACTGACTCAAAGTTAATGGGTTACATTCAGTTCTTTTCAAAAATGGGTACCAGAATTGGTTTGTTTTTTAAGTTTTACCAAAATATGAAGAGTAATAGTTCCCAAAATCTTTAATTTGAATACAAATGATAAACCAAAACACCCTGCAACACTCAGTGTCACATATTTAAATTAAAACAACAAAAAACCAGAAAACTAAGTGTAGGATGGACTATAATAGATATGCAGTCTGAAGTACAAAAAAAAAAAAAAAACCTTCAAAACACTTTAACTTTAAAATATTTACAACTTGACAGAGTATCTTGAGCACAAAATGTGTACACAGAGAAATAATTCTGAAGCCTAGCATTCAGCCCAAAAGATGTCTTTTTTCACATACCTTGAGACTATTTACACATTTGAAAGAATATTTGCATTTCTTTGACTTCCATTTTCCCTTTCCCCAACTTTTCCTTCCAGGTGCATTTGGCGTGTTTGTAGGTGTATCAGGGCGTTCAGTGTTTGTACCGCTTTCTATACTGACAGCGTCATCCTGTAAGCAGTAAATGAGAAAAAATTCCATGAAACGGCACTACTGTTTTTAGCAGTTAATAACTCTACTGGGAAGATGTTGAATGACCTAAGAGAAATAATTTCTACAAGAAGAAAAAAACATATTCTTGCTTCCATATAAACATAATCCAGTTACATGTAAGAATGTAGATATTTTCTATTTCAACAAAAATGGAAATGAAATACTGAGAATAATGGAAGAGTAATACTGTCTTTAATAAGGCACTGGTCTGTGCCAGTCACTTGAATACACTGTATCATTTAATCTTTCAGCTCTTTACAAAAGATACTGAAGTGTTGAAAAAGTCCAACTGGTCTCTTGCTGGTAAGGGCTGCTGGAATTCCACTCCAAAGCTGTAGCTCTTAAATCTGGCTGATGTATATGTCTTCATAATTTATTTGACTGCTGCTCAGTCTGGAGCATGGGGGTGGGTAGTCGTTTGAAGCAGGAGTGTTAATGGCTTCTACGTTAGATGTCACTATAAAAATCTTGTTATTCAAATTCTATTTATAATATAAATCAGTTAGAATTTTTATAAACTCCTACATATATTCTATGCTATTTACAAGTTAAAACGGTCTCATTGTTCTCAAGTAATAACACTCACACATCAGAACTCCAGAGACTGTATATCATAATTAAAGTAAAATCCTTCCAAAAAAAAGAAATGACAGCAGGAAACCTTGAAAATGCTCCCGATTCATACCTTATCTCACACATGAGTAGCCCTCTAATCTCAGCTCTCTAATCTCAGAAGAGGATTTCACTACCTCCTCATTACAGATTCCAACGTCTCCTTTGGAAAGAAAAGATTTATTTAAATCTATGACCTTAGGGCAGCAGTTCTAAAATGCATTCCAGATGAAGCCTTTTTTCCATGAAATGCCTATTAAACAGTCTAGGAAACATTGCTTTAGGGGATATTTCTAAATTACTGTTTCCGAAAATTGGTTTTATATAGAAGGTTAAAAAAATCATAAATGAAATAGGTGGGTAGCAAGCAGTAGATACTCAAAAAATGTTTGAATTGTAATTTAATGTAAATGTCATCAGTTTACAGAAACAGAAAATGTAATATTTTAATCTCTTTCTCCACCTTTTCAGTTGTATTCACATAATTAAAATCAAATGTAGAGAACAATTCTGTGTCTCAGTGGAAAACTACAAATTATCTATATCACACCCTTCCAAGTCAGTGGATTATAGCCCTCCACTATGTCTTTCAGCTATTTTACAACTCTTTTTTTTTGAGACAGGCTCTCCCTCTATCCTCCCACTCTGTCTTGGTTCAATGCAACCTCCACCTCCCAGGCTGAAGCAGTCTTCTTCCCCCTACCTCAGCCTACAGAGTAGCTGGGACAACAGGAGCAGGCCACCACACCAAGCTAATTTTTTGGTCTCAAACTCCTGGACTCAAAGGATCCTCCAGCCTCAGCCTCCTGAAGTGCTAGGATTATGGGCTCGAGCCACTGTGCCCAGCCACAACTCTTTTTTCATTATGAATAACTGATAGATATGTAAATTTTGTCTCTACAATAGAGGTTCAAAATGTCTTTCCTTCCACTCAAGGGGAAAAAAAAATTCTGTCTCAATTTAGAGTTAATCTCTCCATTCCTTTACTCCACATATTAATAAATTTGTACTGTTTTAATTTTTCGGGTTAACCGTTACTGTACAACATTTGCCTGGTTCCCTCTGAGTAAAATACAAGTTTTAACACTTTTTTTCCCCCACTTACCATTTTTTTCTGTAAAATTACCTTTTAACACTAGAGAAATGAAATTTTAAAACTCTTCACATTTTTCTACACCAGCTTCTTTACATTCTGGCTAAACACTGAGCTGCCAATAAAGAGTCCACCCAAAGCACTCAATAATAGGGCACAATGCTTATTTTACTTCTGAGCACTTAATTTACCCATCTTCTCCAAAGGCATATCAGGATGGAATCAAATGAAAACCGCATACAGCCACCATGCTTCCATTTTATCTTTAAACTAAAATCAAGTATTTGCTGAGTGTCTAAAATATGGACAGGCTGACTTCCATCCTATTCCCTTCTCAAAGTAAAGAATAATACTGTGCAACAGACATCGTATTACCATATTCATTTGCCCAAGAAGGAAACAGAGAGGTCAGTAATTTGTCCCTGCATCTTGCCACAGGGATGTCCTGCATCTCTGCTTTTGCTTAAGCAAAAAGACAAGTCTCCAGATTCAGCCCTCTGATCTTACTACCAAGGCATTCGTTATTACTCTTCCAGAAGCCAACAACTCTGCAGTCATATGATCTCAAAAAGTTCAATAAAATGGCAGATAACACATACAATAAATTTAAAATATGTGCCTATTACATTAACAGTAGCAACTGCTCAGGTTACCTTAACTCTAACTCAAAAACATACTCTTCTCCCATCTGCTTTGGCCTTTTGCCATTATTTGGCTCCCTCAAGAGTAAAACTATTGCCCTTGTTTTTTCTGAACTCATTTTTATACAATGTTCTCTACTCCCTTACCTTATTGCCTCCCCTAAGTCAGGCTTACAGGGACCAAATTTAGAAGGCTTGTGAACTCAAATGCGGGAAAAAAATTGCATCTTAATTTTTGCTACCTTTAACTAAAGTTTAGCACTTCCTTCTATTATTATCTAGTTAATATACATGCTTAAGGTTACTGCAATTGTGATTCTGTCACCAATGAAAATCAAGTATTTTTATATCATACTTCGAAAAACTGTTTGTGCCCATCACTACTATCAGAATTGCTGCTAGATCTTGTTATTTAATGTGCTAATAATAAAGTAAATATAGTACTACAACCAAAATTTGTTTTAGAAATATTTTATAACATGGTGTGCAATTTTATAACTGAATTTGTTTGCAACCTCATATCCTGTATTTCATACATCCAAAAATGTTATTTTGAGAAGGCTCCACAAGATCTCGAACGCTCTCCTTCTCTCTTAAGTCTATCCAAATAGAGGAACCAAAACAAAAGGTAATCCAATCATTTGGTCCTGAATAGCTTTAAAATTGCACCAAAGAATATATTTTCCATTAAGGGTCTTCAAGAAGAAAATAAGCTTTAATTTATTTTGTCCTCTGCAAGTTTCTTCATTCTGAACAGGTCTGACAGTTTCATTATATTTTGCCAGATTACTAAGTATGCGGAAGGGACAGAAACATTATTCTATGTAATCATAAAAAAGTAATAGTCATTATTGTAAATAATTAACATGGCTACAGTACTTATTATGGGGCAGGCACACTTCTTAGTACTTTAGCTATATTATTTAATCCTTACGAATACTCTGTGAGGTAAATACCACATTCCACTATCCCCATTTTTAACAAACGAAGGCAATTATGTAAGTCTCTTGCTTAAGGTCAAGTTAATAGAGCAGAAATTTTAACCTATCACTTGAATCCAGCATCTGTTCTCTTAATACTCTAATCTGCCTAGGGAAATTTAACAAAACGCAGAAATGAACAGTCTCCAAATAATAAAACGAAGAGGGTAAAAAATGTTCGATCCCAATGTACAGTGAGATTGGGGGCACACAAACGGGGAAAAAATACAAAAGTAACACTTAACACCCAAGATTTCCTGAAATTTCAAGTCTAAGATCCCACTAACTGACAATCCCAAGAATATCTATCTTGTCTCCGCAAAAAGAATCCTTACCCGTTTTTTCAGTGAAAATCTTAATCAGGACACCATTATATGTTTCAGCTAGAAATTATGACATAGAATTTAGAAACTGCGTGTGGAAGATTTAACATTTATTCCTAAAACTAGTCAAACTGAGAAAATTAAGAACTCACATCACTCTTCTAAAACATTTTAAAGATTTTTAAAAGATATTCACAAGTTGTCCCATATCATGAGAAGGAGAATCACATTTTGGAGTAACATATTTGAATAAACTGTCAAGATATTTCGTTGACCTTACTGGATAGCAACCTAAAACATGAAACTGAAAACTTATTTGTGTCAATTCGGCTCTTACTGGCGGGTCAATTAAAACTCACTTGGGTTAAATGTTGGTACCATGATTACAATATCCGTTTCAGGGCTTAAAAAAAAAATCTGACAGCAAAACACCTCGCACTTGCCAAAGCCAGGAGCCCACACTTAAAAGACATCCGCTTATACCACTGTTGCCTAAAATCTTCCAAGCTGCCCCCTTTAAGTAAAAACGTTCAAAGAAGAAATCGCCCATTCTTATTACTTCCTCAAAGGTAGTCCCTACCTGGCCCCAAATAAAAAATCGATCCTCTCAATTCGGCTCCTCCTGCAGAAAAGGCGACCTTCAGGTGCAACCCGTCTCCGAGGACAGGACGGAGGCGCACACAAAACCCCCTTTAATAAAGTCTCCCAAGCTCCGCAAATCGAAGATCTCCGCTTTCCATTCTAAAAATTCCAAAAGGGTCTTAGAGTGACAACTCTTACGCTCCTTTAGCAGGGTCCCTAACTCTGCCCCGTCCTTCCAACTTTCTTAGAAAAGTCTCTAACATGCCTTTTAAACTACCAGAATCTCAGACCCGCACTCTCCCCTTAAATCTCCCCAAAGGCCCAAACACTCTCCCATCACATACAAACTGATTTCAGGGCAGACCTCTCAGACCCACACAATCACTAGAACCACTGTCCTTCGACTAGTTCCTACTTGCTCTCGGCCCCACCTAAAAATCCCAGTAGACAATTTCGATTTTCTCCCGCACGCCCGCGTTTTCCTGAGTAGAGTGACACCTCTCCCTCCCCCCACAGCAGCCCGCTAGCCCCCGCGCCCACAGTTTTCAAAGAATTTAAAACTTTCACTCCTGAGTCTCGTAACTGCCAGGAACTGCACTCACATTCTCGTCTCCAGAAAGGTCTGGATTGCTGTTCTCGTCACTGCTCAGCTTCTGCTTCTTGGCCGCAGGCATGTCTGTTCCCGCCGGCGCAGTCGACACTTCCCTCTCGGACATATTCCTCCGCCTCCCTCCAGGTTCCTGCCGCCTGGGGCGGGGCCTCCGCCACACCGCCGTCAAGCAAGCCCGGCCCGAGCTTGCCGCAAAGTTGCCGCTGCCGCCGCCACCTCCACCGCCCCCCCCCACTGTCGCAAATCGCGCCCAGCCGCCGAGGCGGGCGTGCGTGCGACCCCGCCACACTGCTGAAAAAGGGGCGCGCGCGCGCGCGCCCTCCCGCGCGGCTTCCTGGCTCCTTCCCTTCCCCAACTCTCGTCTTGTCCTTTTCCCGCCGCCCTCCGGGCAGTCTACAAGATGTATGACCCGTTGGATTAAGAGAGCAGTATTAAGTATGTCTCCCTTCCCCACCACCGCCTCCAGAAGAGGCGAAACTCAAAGGGATGCTCCCTCACCCCCTTCCTCCTTCCAAAGACGTTTCAGCCGCAATTGGCCCGTTCCTTCGATCGCCGACTCGCTGCTAGGGAGCGAAAGTCTGTGGAATGGGCTACACCACCAATCTCCCAGGAAATGGGGGAAGATTCAAGACGTCACCTCTTGCTTTAGCCGAGCATGCCACGTTTCCTTAATCTTGAACTTGGAGGATAACGTTTCCTGACTGTTTACGGAACTGTTCAAAATCTAATTCTTCCTTGAAGATAGAAATGCAAAAACGATAGCCTGCTTCCCACTGGCTTCCCCCATCTGAAGAATGGAAAGTACCCGTCAGGGGATGCGCAGGCGCTGTGGCGTACTCTTGCGATGAGTTCGTGGAGACCCGCCTCCTCCAAGCCCCTCCTCTGTTTGAATTCTCGTTTGCTGAACCAGGTAGTTTTCTACCCAGTTTCTGAATACCTGGGTGAATTTCAAAGCGCTACCGACTTATACTCTAGACACTTCATAAATTCTTGTCGGATATTTATTCTGTTGATAATTTGTTGTAATGAATTATCCTTACCAGTTGATACCTATAGTGGTTAAGACTTTAACAGAAATATCCTAAAAATTAAGAGTCTAAACTCCAATGAGTTACAGCCGCTGTGCTCTTTTTAGCTACTAAAGGATAGGCCCTGAACTGTGCCAAGGCCTGTAAATCAGTGTTCATCTCCAACTATTACGAGACTGTGAGACGTAAGTGACAGTGTTTTGTTTTTGCACATTAGATGCAATGAAATTTTAGAAGGCAACACAACTGTTATACTTCACCAAAATAGTTACCTCTGTTACCATATCTGTTCTCTACCAGGTGCCAGATAACATTGTTGAGCCTTGTGGAATTACTATATGGGCCATTAAACTGTAACTGAACGAGCAGCAGCAGGAAAAGGAGAATGACGATGAATAATAAAATACAGCCTCCCCCACCGTTTGTTTTTTTTTAGAACATGATTCTGACTACTTATCTTTCTGGGCTTCTGTAAAAATGTCCTCATCTGTAAAAATGAGGAGGTAGGAAGGGACCTACCATTTCTTGGGTACCTACTTGATGTATGTCTTTTCTCTTTTAGACCTCATTACCTACCTAGAGTGCACCATCCATAAAATTCTAGTATACTTGAATTACTTCTGCATGATAACTATAACCAGGTCATCAGTTTCCTTAACTGCAGATTGCAAGTCGCTCTTTCTTCTGTAGATTAAGAGAGAACCCTTGGTTGAGAATGAGAAAAGGAAGTAAAGCAAAGGCAGGTCAGAATAAGAGCTTTTTGCAATGAAGACTTTGAAATAAAGAAGCTGAAAAAAATTAACATTGAGGTCTCAATGACTGCAGTCAATTGTTCAGCTCTTCCAATGTCCCAGGCACTACTAAGCACTCCTCAGTTGGTGAGGAAGAGGTGAGACTGGAGTAGAGTAAGCGCTTGAGAAAGTAAGACGTGCTTTGGTGTGACATTTTCATCAGCAGACAGAAGCATCCTTTCCTTTGTTGAGAACATCTTTTCCGATAAATGGAAAGATGTTTCTGAACTATAGTTCTACAAGTAAAGGCTAATCAACGAAAGCATTTCAAGTTAAAATTACTCTGTGTGTGAGAGATCAGTGGGAGCTGGGAAGTGGGAGTCAACGTCTAGTCATAAAATTAGAAAAGTGCTGAACATTTGGATAAAGGACACATATGGTAGAAAAATGCCTTACAGCATTCATATTATCTGCAACAAAGCAAAAATAATTTAAAGAGGCTTATTAAAACTTGGAGGGATTATTTTTAAAATGTTTCTGATGATCAGGGGTGATAAATGGAAATTAGTTTATATTACTACATTATTATTACTATGTTAAAGAAAAATAATTCTGACACTTGTTAAAATAGTAAGGAGCACTTCATTCAGGACTATTTTAATAGATGTGAAGACATTCAGAATAGAGAGATCAGGCTCAAGTCCAAATTACAGCAAGGAGTGGGAATTTATAGTCAAGGAGCGGAGTTGGAGGAGTTGGTGGTTGGAAAATTACTAAGAAGAGACATCAAGGGTGGGGAAATTTTTGCTAAACCAACTTAACAGAATTTGTGCTGAAAAAAGGCCAAGGTGATCAGATATCAAGAGTGTGGGTTTCTCTCTAAACTGACGCAGAATTCTTGCTACAGCTGAGCCAGGCAAGCTAGGCAGGAAGATGGAGAAAAGGGCTCAGAGGAGAGTCTTTGTTACTAATTTAAGATATGTAAAATGTCACAGGTATTCTATGCAGAGTACTACTTTTATGGTATTAATTTAATAACTATAAAAGTTGAATTACCTATTAGAAATCATAAGTTTTGCTGAGTGCGTTGATGTACACCTGTAGTTCCAGCTACACAAGAGGCTAAGGCAGGAAGATTGCTTGAGCCCAGGATATCAAAGCCAGACTGGGCTGCATAGGGAGACCTACTTCTCTAAAAAAGAAAAAATCATAAGTTTTTCAACACTGCATTCTTCTACTGTGAAACATCTCAGAAACCATCACAGTTGGAGAGGTCTTACGACCCACATTTTACAAATGAGGAAACTAAGACTTAGGATAAGTAAACACTATGCCCAAAGACACACAGCTCTTCAAATGGCAGAACTAGAGATTTTGTTCAATTGATTGGAAAGCCAAAGCACTTTTACTTCAAGATGAGGGACCCAAGCAGTTCTAGATTTATGTAACTCTATGCACAGAGCTTGGTCTTTAGACCACACAGTCGTTTATGAAGTATCAAAGAACCTTAAAAAGCTATCTTACTTGGGACAGAAAGAAGATAAAACTGGGAAAACAAAGAATCTATAGCATAGTTTATAGTAATGTACGGATTTCAGTCTTTACTTAATTTTGACCAATGTACCATGGTAAAATAAGATTTTAATAATGAGGGAACCTGGATAAGAGGACTATAGGAACTCTCTATGCTATCTTTGTTCTTTGTAAATATTCTATGAAAGTATTTTTAAAATAAAAAACTTACTTAAAAATATCTGTGTCATATTTCACTGTTGAGAATTCAGTAAGAAATACCTCTCAGCCTTCAAATAAGTAGTTGATCCATCTTGGGACTTCCCAAGATCATTTAGTTATATGGAAAAAGAAAATTCACAGCCTTCCTTGGCATTGTCTCCTAGTATCTTGTAAGCTTCATATCAGGAAATGAGTTTCAAAAGCTAAATTAAATCCTTCCCATTTCAACTGGAGTCTATTTCTCATTCATTGAACATTTTTCTCTCTTCTGCTTCATAAATAGCAGCTGTTCATCATCATTCATGCAATGTAGAGTCATATGCTTACAGATCTGGTTTTCTATGAACAGAACATCATATGGCTTTGAACATTTTCAAATCAATCAGGAAGAATCTACTGAATGCCATTTATATGCAAAGCAGCATGGTAATTCCATGGGCAGCTGGGAGGTGGGGACAATAAAAAAGAAAATAAGACACAGTCTCTACCTTTAAACAGCCTAATAATCATCCAGCATTAAGAAATAATGGAGGCAGGGTGCAGTGGCTTACGGCTGTAATCCCAGTACTTTTGGGAGCTGAGGTGGGCAGATCACAAGGTCAGGAGTTCGAGACTAGCCTGGCCAATATGGTGAGACCCCATCTCTACTAAAAATACAAAAATTAGCTGGGCATGGTGGCAGGTGTCTGTAGTCCCAGCTACTTAGGTGGCTGAGGCAGGAGAATCACTTGAATTCGGGAGGTGGAGGTTGCAGTGAGCCAAGATCGTGCCACTGCACTCCAGCCTGGGCAACAGAGTGTGACTCAGTCTCAAAAAAGAAAAGAAAAGAAATAATGAATGGGGCCAGGTGCAGTGGCTCATGCCTGTAATCTGAGCCCTTTGGGAGGCCGAGAAGGGCGGATGACCTGAGGTCAAGAGTTTGAGACCAGCCTGGCTAACATGGCGAAACCCCTTCTCTACTAAAAATACAAAAATGAGCCTGTCATGGTGACTGGCGCCTGTAATCCCCACTACTCAGGAGGCTGAGGTGGGAGAATTGCTTGAACCAAGGAGGCGGAGGTTGCAGTGAACTTAGATCATGCCATTGCACTCCAGCCTGGGTGACAAAAGTGAAACTCCTTCTCAAAAAAAAAAAAAAAAAAAAAAAGAATGGACTTAATATGTATTTGCTGAATACCTACTATGTGTCCAACACTGTTCCAGGTGCTGAGGAAACTTAACCATAAGCAAAACCAGACATCATGCTTATTGACATATTGGAGAAACAAGCATTAACCAAATAAATGTGAAATTACTATGGTAAGCGTGATGAAGGGGAAATACAAGGTTAGGGCTGTTGCTAGCCTATGTGGTATCTTTGTGCTATTTTTTAAAAGGCACTGCCATAGCAGAAACAGCCCAGAGTAGGTACAGGTTGGTAAGCAAACAATGACTTTGGTAAATTAGAAAAAGATACCCCCTTTTCCAAATTGATACAACCCTACTCCACGTGCAAGTCTTTGTGAACGGAGCACAAACTTGATTTTAGTTTTAGTCATTACCTCAGCTGGAACCCTTATTTAGATGAACAAGCTGCACAGGCATACACAGAAGCTAGACAAAGTTTCCATGGACATGTACAGTAAAGTGAGACATGAGAGGGTTTCCCTGAGAAGCAGAAGAGTGGAAGTAAAAGAAGAATGGGAGTTAACCAGTCTCCTATTAAGAAGCGATAGAGAAACATTCTAGGGAGTGATAACCGCATGTGCAAAGGTCCTGGGGCAGGAATATGAGAAGGGTACAAATGCTACTGATACACTGAAAGGTCAGTGCTGGTGAAGGACTGAAAAGAGAGGGTGACAGAAGTGTTAGTAACAGAGAAAGTTAGAAAAGGAGATAAGGGGCCAGATCACAGAGTACCTTGTAGACCTTCTTAAGATGACTCTGTTAAACTGTATCTCCTGTTGATAAGACTTATACAGAAGGAATTAGAATAGCATTATTTTATTTTAACTTTTTGTTTGTATTTATTTCACTTATATGTAGTGAAATGCACATGTCTTAAGTATATAGTTCCATGTGTTTTGACACAGGCATGCACCCATATAATCCATAAACCATCAAGATACAGATGGAGCTTTCCAACACGTCAGATTTTCCCTCATGCCTCTTCCCAGTCAAACCTCTCCTCTCTTTCTCCCCAGGCAGCCACTATTCTGTTTTGCTTATATTAGCCTATTAGTTTTGCGTATTGTAGAACTTTATATAAATAGAATAATTCAATATGTGCTCTTTCATGTTTGGCTTCTTTTGCTCAGCATAATGTTTTTTAGATTGATAAAATGACATTAGCTTTTAAAGAAAAAGACTGTCTTTAGCTCTTAAATATTATCCTTAGCTTTTAAATATTGTCATTAGCTTTTATGGCCGGGCATAGTGGCTCATGCCTGTAATCCCAGCACCTGGGGAGGCTGAGGTGGATGGATCATTTGAGGTCAGGAGTTCAAGACCAGCCTGGCCAACAT